CTGTCTAACAAAACACTGAGTGCATAAACTGAGCAATTTCCCAACTAGCCGCTTTAAGCAATCGCAAATTGCCGCTATATTTCTGAGGCGTTTAGAAGTAATCAGGGCAATTCAGTTGTCCGTTTGTAACCACGGTGTGTTACAGATTTTGTAAAAGTTTTAATTTGCAATCAAGATTCATTTGTTATCGTAAACGTCATGAATGCCACATCGCTGTATTTTCGCCAGTTATTTTCGGGTGGACGCGCCGTGAACTACGGCAACACGGTGCTGGTACAGCGCGACAATGGCCAGTGGTGGCTGGGATACGTCCAGGATATTGATGATGACCATTTCTTCGTCGACTTCGATGCCGCAACAATCAAAGCACAATGGATCCATTCAAGCTTTCTCTGGTCGCATCGTTTTCTCTTTAGTGAGGAATTCCGTCAAGGTTCCTCTGTGCACATAGCAGTGCGCGAACAAGATGGTGGGCCGATGGTTTTCAGAAAGGGTACCATAACCCAAGATAAAATTCATGTATTCTGCGTTGTACACCTGGATGACAAAAATCCTATCGAGACGGGAATGTCCTCCAAGAGCACCCACATCGTGCTTCGGAAGCATATTGCCGAAAATTTGCCGGTGCCCGGAGATGTTAAGTGTTTGTATGGACAAACTACCGGTTCCGTGTACAGGAAGCATGTCATCGGCTTTCCCCAAGCTCAACTGTTGCCGAATGTGGATTTCATTCCGATGTTCGTAGCCCGCACATGCCGGTTAACGCTTGGCCAAGGCGACGGAGATTGTGACGCGACCTGCCAGTTTGACGTATCCATTAGCGGGGAAGGGATAACATTCGACTGTAAAAGCCACCAGGAGACTGGTGGGACTTATTTGATTGAAGACGGTTGTCGACTGTTTGCGCGACTGGGATCCGATTCGGTCACATTCATCTGCTGCGAAATGCATATGGACGAACTCAAACGCAGCCTATTCTGGACCGACGATTCGCTGAAGAATGCCTGCGATAACTACCTCACGGCAAAGCTAACCGCAGAACCTAATACCATGGACACGATTGAGTGGCAAATGTCTCAAAGTGGTCAGTATAAAAGGGCTGAGTAAAGAGGCCGTAAATTTTTGCATTTTTTTAAAGTTATGTGATTCTTAATAACTGGGTATAATAATCCGCAGATGCGGAAGGAATTTCCATCAATAAACTTTCGTACCCCATCCTGGCATGGATACTCTCCTGTCTGGACGCGCATTCCCAGCTGCAGATGAGCAGGCAAGTTAATAAGTATGGTAGCAAGTAGCATACTTTTCCAGTTCTACTCTCTTATTTTTGTTCCCGTTCCGTGATAAGCCATCCCTGTACTCAAGGGATTTTGGCACCTAAAACTACATTAGATGCGTACGGCAAGTAAATTTATACGATGAGCAGGATGTGTTACTGAGTAATACTGACTTACTGTTTACTTCCCTTTAGAGTATGCGCCTTGTGGAGAGCCCTTGTCCACAGACACGTCGATAACCGGCACATTATTATCAATCTCTGTACAACGTGCGGAAAAGCGCCACAGGACCAGGACTCGTTGGGTGAATATCTTGAATATTCGACTTACAAGCTGGTAACAATGCTGCAGCATTTGGTACGGAAGCATACGCAAACGGTGGCGCTAACGGAAGACCGGCATCACGTTCATCATGGAAGTGACTTCAAAGTAAACATGTCAACGATCAAAGAAGTTTTAACAGCAATGGGCGTTCGTCTGCCGGCAATCATCGTCAAGAACGGCCGCGATGTCCCTGAATTTCCGTCTTTCCTGACCACCGGACGCAGTTCTCGCAACCCTACATGGTTGTCCGAATGGATGGTCGTTTGTCAGCACCTGATCCTGATTAACTTCACCGCGTCGGCAGCCATCGTCAGATCGGCGCTGGAAGTGCTGTTTCTCGCCCCTGGGTCGGGCTTCCTGCAGTCCGAGAAAGCGTTTAAGCGGAGGCTTTAACGAGCCGTGTCAGGCTAAACATTCCATTTGTGCGCTTTAACGCTAATGAAACGCCCGCCGAGCAGTGTCGAAACTTTTTGGCAGCTGCAAACGATCAATGTCCGGCCGTCAGTCTGCAAATTTACGAAAAAGTTGCGGCGATCCATACGCGTTGGGTGCAGACCCTGGATTATCCGGAAAACTGGGTTGGCATCCGCGGTTTTCTGCGACTGTAAGTAGTACTTGACACAGGATATCAAAATGCTAATTTGTCTCGCAACTTTTTTTCTGTAAGTCTTACTGGTTCCGTCCTTTTAGTTAAAAAAAAATTTCCGGTTGTAAACAGTTATCAATCTTCTGTTTCGTAATCCAGCTTCTGCTTTTGATGCTTTAATCTCTGATTTGCCAGGTTCAACTCGCTTCGCGGAGACGCTGATTTACAGCAATGGGGCACGATGGACCTCCGGCAGCTGAACATTGCATCGCTGAGCAACGTGACCTTTGCAGCCCTTGATGCATGCTTCAAAGACTGAAGCCTATGCTAATATTACATATATGTAGTATATACATACATACGTACATATGTAGTATATAGATATATATATCTATTCAATACACATGCGCAGATATCCTGATACTTGTACGCGCGATTTGTTTTTCGCCATTTTTATAACAACTTTGTCCAGTATTACAAGCAAGCCTCTCTTAATCTTTGGTCCCTCAACAAGCGTCCCAAAATGTCCCTTACTCTTTGGCTCCTGTTGTGAGGGTTAACCAGCCAATGGTCATCTGACCGCGGAGACCAATAGTTAAGTACTGAATTATTGGATTTGTGAAGCAGCTAACGTTTTCGTTGGTAACGCGAAATACTCACGGTTTTCTTTTTGTTCGAAACTATGAATGTGGCTTTTATTACACAATTTAATGTCTTGCAACTCTTGTTTATTGTTGAATCGAAATAAATGGTGATGTTAATATGTGTACTCGAACAGACACGGTAGTAAGCCAGTAAACTAAATGCAGATACAGTATGTTACGAGAGGAGACTGTACAGTGTATATATCGAGAAGAGAGAGTCATCCCGTTTTTCAAGTCGCCAATCGCCATTAATTTTTCTCGGATTTTGTATCATGATGGTTCCTTGCAGACTGCTGTTGTATGATTGAATGGCTTTAACAGGTGTTGGATCCACTTTCGTTGTTAGGAAAGTGCCCGATAGACATCGCTCTCATCATGTTTCCAAGTCTGTTGAAATACAGTTCAAGTGTACAATCATCATAATTGCACAGATTTAACGCGCAGATTTAGAAAATGCGAGATTTATCCTACTGCGATATTTAAATGCGAGATTTATCCTACTGCGATATATCCTACTGCGATCCTACTGCGATTTATCCTACTGCGATTTATGAACCAACTAAAGTTTCAAGACAACACTGGCGAGCTCCTGTGTCCAGTTGCTATGCACAAAAGCTGTCTTGAGAATTTTGAGAGTACTAGCCGACGCACATACTGGCGTACGATTTACTGTATATGCGAGTAAATATACTTAATAATTTATTATGTGTTCATCGCAACAACCAGTTCACCTTCACAACATTATGGATAGACGGCGTACATGTGAACGCCCTTTTAGGCCATCGGAATTACAGATATTTTACCATAGGAATTGGTCACAGATATGCTCGATTCTGGAATCTTTATTTAATACAAGGTAAGCCTCGCGCTCCGCGCTCGGCAAATGTGTATTGGAAAGGTTAGGCTCGAATTTATGGACTGCTACGAGGTACGACAGTAGTGTTAACGACAGTAGTCGTGGTTGCGGACAGTGGTGGTAGTTCGATCACTCACTCACCTACAGATTTTGCTTAGGGGGCAGTGGTGGTAGCTAGTTCACTCACTTACTGTATGAGCAATGAGCAAAAAGCAAAATCATGAGCAAAATCTGTAGGCTACAGATTTTGCTCATGATTCGTGGTATCTTGGTTACTTACTCACCTATAGATTTTGCTCACGAGACAGTGGTGATAGCCCGGTCCCTCACTCACCTACAGATTTTGCCCACGGGTGCGGTAGCTCGGTCACCTACTCACCTACAGATTTTGCTGACGGGACAGTGGTGGTAGCTAGTTCACTCACTTATCTAGAGTAGAGATTTTGCTCATGAGTTGTGGTAGCTTGGTCACTCACTCACCTACAGATTTTTCTCACTGGACAATCGTGGTAGTTCGGTCACTTTCTCACCTACAGATTTGCTCATAAGTCGTGGTAGCAGGTAGCTAGGTCACTCACTCACCTACAGATTTTGCTCACGGGACAGTCACTCACTCATTATTATGTTATCGCAAAAATCAAAATAATAGCGTACACTCGGCGTACAGAGCAAACTACATTAATGCATATTGTCCCAGATCCATGGTTACAGCTGTCCTTACTTCAAAATTAATGTCATTCTTACTTAAATTACAGAGCTCTACGCTATGTTGTTGTCAGGCTTAGCAAGTACTGTAAGCATTTAAGTAAAACAATACTTTGTCTGGATTATCCCTCAATCTCAGGAAGGCTATTTAAGATAAAAATCTCACCCGTCCCCCACGGTGGTTGACATTCTAAGTATGTTAAATGTAATGTGCCGTAAATTTTTTCCGCCCCTCACTTCTTGCTATGGTCCTTACGAAATTCCTGGATGACCTCTTATTCTAATGGAGAGTCAGGCTTTCCTATATACTTAAAACGACTAAGAGAGTTTTCAAACCTGGCACTTCTAAGGACAATTAAAATTCAGCGTAAATACCTATGGAAAATAAGAATCATTTCAAGACTATGCTGGACTTAAACCGACCACGCGTTGATTTATCCATAATAACCCACGAAATTACGCCTTTTGACGGTAAGATTGTATGAATATATAGATAAAAGAGAAATGTATAATTATGATTTTTTACAAAAGTTGTCCAGTCATATATTACACTGATCAGTTTTCGGTAAATAATACTAATTATAGGCACCAAAAATGAATAGGAATGATGTCATGCGTGATGTCATTTCAGTGACGATGTGGACTTATAGTGTTCGTATGTTATGAGCAAAGCGATGGCAGATATCAATACAAGTATACAGCTGACACTGCCTGACAATGAGCAAATTATTTTGTATAGCTGGACGAACAGAATCATTTGGCATTGTTCGTTGAGTTCTTTTCCGGTTTTCTCCTTCGAAACCAGTTTCTTATGAATGTCGGCAGAATCCTAAGCAATCGCTTGCGGAAGCTCTTGCGCTTTTTGGTGGGTTTGATTGGCTTTGTAAGCTGTGCTGTAGATCCCGCATTTACGTCGTCTTCGCTCTTCTCTTCAGTCCAGTCTTCTTCGGGAATCACCTACACAAACACTAAACTATTTAACCAAAACTAGGATGTGGCTTTGAGAACACTATCGTCACAAAACCATGCTTCCGATTTCCAGATAAAGGTAATTATTTCTATGAGTGAATTTCGTACCGACAACGAGGCGCGTAGTTGACGATCCACGACATCGCTTGGTCGCTTGGCTCGCTTCACATTGGCCCTCGTTGTCGGTGATGGAGTTGCTTCCGCGGCCGGCTTTTTCTGGCGCTTGCGAATAATTCTAACCGGCGGATTAATCCGGTAGAGATCGTAGCCTGACTTGATAATGGGTGTCATGAAGGCCATAATGCTAACGGACAACAAGGAATGTTCGTGGCAGTTTCGGCTCTATTATCGCCATAAGTTACCACGTTTACCGAGACTCAATTAGGGCAAAAGTCGAACACCTGAAAACATTGTCAAATGGAGAAATTAATGTAAAACTCATTGCAACAGCAATCACAACAAAAAGTTAGTAAACATGGCAAAATGCCTTCGGCATCAACTGATTAATTCAGTGTGAGCTGTGTGTACCGACAAACGGACCCTTTTAGTCATTAAAGTTTGCACCGGAAGTGATTCATTAAAGCAGTCTGCCTAGCTGTGTTTTGCAGTTGTATAGAAGAGAAAATTAATATGTGAGTGCACCGCACGAAGCATGTTGAATGCAGCGGCTGCAAAGCAGCCGAAAAGTGTTATAGTGAGTGTTTTAATGCGCCCATGACATCAGTGTGAATCACTACTCTAAGTATTTAAACCGGCTTCCATGAGCCAAAATCAGTTGGCACACGTACACTGTATGATCTGTAAGTTCCCCATAACGCGCCTTCACCGTGATTCTGCAAGAAAATTTGAAATGATCTCATCTTCAAGTCACCGTGACTTGTGATTTGTTACTGCACTTGAACTATTTCTTCATTAATGTCGCTCACACTTTTACGCGGCAATCACACGTACAATGGCGAAAAAATGTGCACAACAAAATTGCGAAGGCTCTCTTGTGCGTATTGCTAAATCACGACGTACGTTTATTTAAGCTCAACTTCTTTTTCGCTGTATGGACCTTTTTGGTAAGTTTTGAATTCTACGCTTTACTAGCAAACAACTGTAAATTATTCCGGTTTGTAAGAAGAAATAATTGTATCTGTGATTACGGACATTGCCGGTTTTCCATGCCAACTGAATTACGTATAAATTTCCCATTGCACAGCTTCCGATATGACGTCGAGAATACCCATCATTAAACCGGAGTACGATCTTTTTCGAACCAATATCGGTTCGAGACAATGCAGTGACTGCAATCGGCGTCCGCGTGTCCAACGCGATAGTTGTTCCAAAGCGGGATCAGCTTCCAAGGTACGTATACAGTCTGTCAGTGTAACTTTTTTGTAAAATATATCAAACTGAAAATACAGTTTCAACTTCCAGGCGGCGCCGTTTTCGATAATCCGTACTTTATGTAGAGAGTACATAAATCTGTACGAGAACGTGCTTTATTATCAGATAATTTTCAACGGTTTAACTATTACTTTTTCTTATAGTTATTCGTTATGCCGATACAACTTATACGAAATAAAAACTTTCAATATCAGCTGACTGGTCATTACCAAAATGAGTAACCGCCAGAATCCGAGTGTGTATCATTATCACGGAATATTTAAGCGCTGCACAAGGTAACGGAACTTGTACTGGAACTTGTGACGTTGTTTTTGGAACTTGTAACCGTAGTATGTAATCATTGTTGTTGAACACGAAGGAAACCAATAAAACATTACAAAACACAAAAAGGTAACGTATGAATTACTAAAACTAAATTGATATACTTCAGGTAGTTAACGACCACTTGGAGGGTGCATGCGGTAGCGACGTCACAATGGTCATCCCAAGCACGAAACGACAACTGCTTGGCAAGCCTGCAAAAAATTGCAGACGTTTCCGGATGGTACTTCCCAAGAATTTCCGACTGCCCGCTTGTATAAGACGCTGCTTACGCTGCAGAAAATTCTAGGTTTAAAAGAAGCCCAAAGCATGTAAAATGATGTAATGAATCTAGCTGCCACCGTGCGCAAAAATTTTGTAAAGTCTCGTCACTCTGCATTCATTGTGATTTTGATGGAATTGTTTTTCTTGTTTTTTTCTGCTTCAGATGCTCGTTAGGTGTAAATACTGCGTGTCTTTTCAATTTAGCACTTCTGAACAATAACACAGCGCGTACATTGCAGATTTTTTTGCGTATTACAAAACATTACTTCCGCCACGAACGTTGCACTTGGACACAGACAGCTACCAATCGTAAACGCGACGTGATAAAGTAAACTGGAAAATGCAACAGTAATCACCAAGATGATGAAAGATGGCAGTAATAAGACAATTTAAGTACTTTCGGACATTGTGCAAAAGACGTGAGCAATGAACACATAAATATTAGACGTAGTTTCTCCAGTAGTCCGCCACACCACTAGGTAGTTCTTCACCTTTGCGACTTGCGAGATAATGCGCACCTTCCGACTCAGTCATCTCCCATTTTTCCGTTGCCATTTTCTGAAGAAGCTCAGCGGCAGTTGCTCGTTCCCGCGGATCAAACTTAAAACAGGCCTCAATGAATTCCTGGGCTTTAGTCGGTATCCAGTCATAAAATTGAGGCAGCTTTCTGTTGGCGCTGTTGAGGTTATAGAGAATCGCCATTTCCAGCATCATCGGCTTATCTTTTAACCCAGTGTACAATGGTGGCGCACCGCTTAACAAATGCAGAAAACACATCCAAGACCCCAAATATCACATTTTCTTCCCACGTTGACATCTTCCGCGTAGGAATTCACGACTTCAGGAGCTGCAAACCGTCCATCGTGTCCTTGCCGAGCACTGACTGCATGCTGCTCAGTGCGGTCCGTTTCTAACTGTCGCATATACTGGAAACCTCCGATTTTGATGGTTCCCTTGAAACTGGATTCACTGAAGAGGATAACGCTGCTGTTGATGTTGCGGTGGACAATGCGGTGTCCATGGAGGTACTTAAGGCCTTGCAGTGCCTCCCGAGTCCACTTAACAATGATGTCCATAGGGAGTCGGTATTCAGCCGCATCTTTGAACGAACCTCCTGAAAAGTCATAATGTTGTTTTGCATCGGTAGTAAGTACTTATTTTCCTTAAAAATAAAATTAATAGCACAGAGTGTTATCGCAGCAGCGCAGTTACGGTTACGTCTATTAATAAATTTTTTTCGTTAATAAGTACAATTATTTATTCAGTTAATTGTGCCCGCCATCTGTAGCGTCTTTTGTTGGAAGTACGAGCTGGAGCCATTGCTTCCGACATCTGCTGTTGTTTACCTGCACAGTGCTCCGAAAAAACCTGTATTTCCATTGGCAAAGCAGAATCAGGGTGCTCGACAAACTGACAGCCAAAATGTTGCACAATGTTCTTATTTCCATCTGTAGCAACGCCCGCATCCTGTTGTAATGCCCGCATCCTGTAGACATTAGCCCATTCTTTCGTTTTAACGTCCGTACTGGCTTCCATAGCCAACGCTTCACCCATTTTTCCAAAAGCTTTTGTCCACAAATCACGCTGCTTCGACAGCGTTTGTTCTCCGGTGGCGTATATCCCAAAGCGCATGATATCAACCACCTGCGGTGGACGGTTACCGGGATTCCTGTACACGAGTTCGCCTATTTGATGCGTCAGCAACATATCCTCGCTCCTTAGATACGGATGCTTTTGCACTTTTGTCACCGTGAACATCTCTTTAAATGGCAACGTTTGCTGATAATAAATCGCATCCATTGCAAAAAGGTCATCTACGGATTTACTCAAATCCAAAAAAGGATGAAGACGCAGCTGCTCTAAACTCCACCGCTTAGCCGGATCCAACTCCGAGCAGTGACCTAAGAAGTCGTCGCAGGCACACGGTACCGGTCTGATTAGTTCGATCTTCGGACCTATCACAAGGTTTTTCTGTTGCCCCGCCCCCGCATAGAGTGCCTGTAGTTTTGGAAGCAGCGGCTGCTCCATTTTAAACACCTCGACTCCCGAAGCAAAGCGCTTGTGCCGCACGAGCTTCAGCGGCTGATCGATGTTTACGAACCAAATGGTCAAACATCCGAGCGCCCAGGAATCGGCTTTGCTGGTATTTCCCATGGAATTTGGTATCGCAGTTTCTGCAAAAGCTTCCGGGGGAATATATGCAACATTAAAAGAACCCTCTTTGATCCACTTCATCCATAACTTTTGCAGGTCAGCAACTAGGCCGAGCGTTATGTTATCTGCTGATTGGATGTTCTCCGGATAAATTCTTCCATGACCTTGCGGTGTTTGGATAACTGCGTTCACGACTGCGCAAAGATCGCGGCGCACGCTCTGTAATTCTTCATCTGCAGAAAAAGTGAAAAGAGTTCAGTATGCCGACTTGTTGAAATGGAAAAGTGATGGATTAAAACAGCGCAGTGTCTTTACACTGACAAGTTACAGAGAAAACGAAAATTATCTACCCGGTGACGTTGTGATGGATAGGCCAAGGATGTCCGGCGTACAAATATTCCTTTCGCGGTGGCTCGGCCTGTTCGTCGCAGGTGCCGCACGGAAAATTCCAGCTTACACCTGCGTTGTTTGGGTACTACATTAGGTCTGCTTCGTGTTTACATAACCACATACTGTATGTGCATCACAAGGCACGATATACCGGCATCGAAAAATAAGTACCTGCTGCTCTCAACTGGTTTCCTTATCAAAAGACAAACCGACAGTACAATGCACACAGACTATCATTAATTTCTGTCGACGTCGATAAGTGAAGAACGTTTAAACATTCCTACGTTGGTAAAGTACTTACTTCATTAACAGCAGGTGTTGTACAAGCCAAACAGTTGGTACTGCGTTGACAACATCGCCTCAGCAACCGGTATGTACATACATTGTACAACCAGTTGCTTATTTGTACGCTTTAAAGCTGTTGCGCTTCCCACGAGCCATATTAAAGCGCTTCGCGGTCATAGTCTCATAGAGCATGCGTTGTGTAAATTTGATCACAGTTAATTGCATATATAACTTTACCACAGGCTGCAGGCATATAACTATTTAGGTAGCGGAATTCGTCGTACTTACTGCATAACTGCATGTTGACTAACGTAGCGTTAGAAATGCTAACATATGACCGATTGCAACATTACTAGTCACAAGGCGAGCCGTTGCAATAGCTTTTCATGAAACGTGGAATGTACTTCAACCGATATCTAATTCCTCTGTGTCCGCTAGGAAATTTACAGTTTGAACACTCGCTGATCTCTTTTTTAGATAGTTCTGTACATTTGGCAGATATGCGCTATTATACAGCGCGTATTTTTCAGTCACAGTGCAGATGCATCCTCGTATAGTCAGCAATCTATTTTCGTATTATAGATATTCCAAAACTGTTGGGAAACCAAGGATTTAATTTTGGATTTACATTAACGATATTCAACCAACGGATCAAATTAAAGGATCGTTACTGGTAAAGTCGAACCTGAGTACCTCCGATATATAGTGTGCGTTCACGAGTAATTAATTATTTATTGAATTACGGCGAGAAACTATTGTCATTTGCACAAATTATAGAAAAAATGGGTGATGTATTACGGAGCCAACCTTCTTTGGATATTAAGCTAAAAAGCACAGAACTACAGTATTTGGAATTTAAGCGCTTTGACATAACCGTTAATGAAGATGAAACAAAAGAAAACGCCCCTAATTACGGTGATCAATCGGTCATACTTGTGGAGGAACCCGAGGAAGAACAGAAGAAGTCTATAACGCTTCGAGACAAACTCACACATTCAGAAGAAACGGCAAATCATATTCCGATGTCCGCCTCTATAGTTTCCGCCTTTGAGGGTAATAAGTGCCAAACTGAGTTAATCAAGCAGAAATACAAGCTTGCAGAAAAGCTTGCTGAAATTTCACCCGATACCAAGAACGTCATGAGGCATTTGCATCCAAAATGTCCCGAGAAAATTGAGGAGCTGATAATTTTTACCGAATATGAAGGTAACGAGTTTTCAAAATTTATGTTTTTCCCTAAGCGCTACGGTATTGCGGTGCGCAAAAGGCATACAATTTTCCATTACGGAATTTTCAAATAAAGCATGTTCTCTTTAAGGTGACCTTTTGCCTTTATCCGCTCTGATAACAACGCGGCAGTTTCGTGTATCGTTGGTTCCCCAATTTACGTGTCAGATTTTAGCCGGCTTGAGCGTGCTACACAAACACGGTATAATTCATAAGGATATCCGTTGTTCCAACATTTTGGTTCAAAAGCCGGTAAAGGAGGCGACATACACGCTGAAGATAGCACACTTTGAGAAAGCCTCATTTGACAGTAACAAATCCAGCCTTGGAGAACATGATATTTGTCCAGAAGGTTCATCGCAGTTTTCTTCACCGGAAATGCAGGAGTTGACTTTCGATATAAAAGATCAATGCAACCGTATCGGAACCGCAACGGATGTATACAGTCTTGGTTGCACCGTTATTGAAATGGTACAGCGCAGTCCACCACGCTGGATCTACTATAAAGATGGACGGATGATGCAATACAACTTTAAACCGGAACGCACTTTGACTGAGTTTGTTATTAATCTTCATACATTATCGATTAACCAAGCCGAACCTGATACCAGCGCTTTAGGAAGCCAAGGAGACGCTGTAAAATTCGTAAAGGCATGTATTGCCAGATTTCCCGACGAAAGATCTACGTGCGAGGAGCTGCAAAAGCATGCTTTTATTACCAAGCCGGAAATGTAATATCTGTGAAGGGAAACCCAAAGGGCGGGTCTCCGTTTCTAAAGCCAAACTGGTTGCAGTAATCATATCATAAACACCTCTCGAAGCGGCATCACGAACCGTTTTTATTGGCGTGGCCGTGGCATGCAGCAACTTCGTGCCATTAACAACCCTACCGAATCATGCTTCGCGTTGAAATTGAGACCATTCAAAGTCTGGCGGGAGGCCGCACACACCTGGGTTCCTACAAAAACCGGGGTACAAATTTTTCACATCGAATTTCGCATTGGGTTTTCTTGTTTCGACAAACGTTTGGTAAATCTTTTAACATTTTGTTCAATTTTATATTAGAATTAGAATTATTTAGAAGATATTCCTGAATTATTTATCCCATTTTCAAATTGTATGATTGTCCTTACCGTTTAGCGTACGTCGAAGACAAACGGCTATTCTGTAACCGTTTGATGCAAAGGTAGTGATGAAATTATGAATACTGTAGCTCTGTGATTCTGCCGGCTTCGGCTTCCAGTTGTTGATTGTACTATACTGCTGAGAATGATCGAATTAAAAAGCATTAATAACGCAGAAACCTGGTTGAAACCAGTTTCTGGGGAACCGTAAACAAAAACATAGCCTTGTGTTGTTAAATAATCAAGACGAAAAATGGTTTCTACGTAGTTGTTCGACAATCAAGACAAATTTGGCGCAGTAAGGTGATACTGTCCGTAACAGGAATGCTTTCCGTAACTGAATCGCTCCATGATTTTAAGTAAGACACTACTACATTTTCAGCCACTTTAGCGCGGGCCTGGAAGTTGTCGTAGTAAGTAGGCGTTTCTAATTTTTTTCTGAGACGGCCCTTCTACAAAAAGCATTTCTAATGAAGAAAAAGACGTTGTACAATCTGTAGAAGCGTAAACAATAAAGCGCATTTGGCATTCTCATTAACCACAGTTTTAGAAAAGCGCAGCTAAGAACAACCTGGTTATTGTTATTGTTACTATGTCCTAACAACAAACTGTTACTAGTCCCATGCTCTTAACGTTTCCAACAAAATATTCGAAAGAGCGTCAACGTCTCCAGTTTTCGGCAACGCCTTCCGGAAGAGGAATTCCGCCACGCGATGTCCGGTAAGCAGCATCATCGATATCAGTGCTCAATAATGCGTGTGTATCGAGGTCGGCAGCATACGGTCTCTGTGCCGGATTAAACACCAAGCACTTCATAATGAAGTTCCTTATATTAGATGGAATCCAGGCCGGTATTTCCGGCAAAGTTTTCACAGTTTTCAAGTGGTACAGTACGCCCACCTCCAACACGACAGGCTTGTCTTTGGCTCCTATATATAGCGGCGGATGACCGCTGACCAGATGCAGCGCAATACATCCCAGGCTCCAAGTATCACACTTGCGTCCGGTGTGCAAGTCGTCATCCTTTTCAGTGTCCATCATTTCCGGTGCGACAAATCGCCCATCCGATCCGGAACGCACGCTGATTTCGTTCTTTACGGAGGTAACACCTTCCAGTTGTCGCATTAAATGGAAACCGCCAATTTTTACTGCCCCTTTGAATGGATTCTCGCTGAAAAAGACTATGCTGCTGTTTAAGTTGCGATGAACGATGCCGTGTCCGTGAAGGTATTTGAGACCTTCCAGTACTTCCAAAATACATTTTACGACCATTTCGACTGGCAAATGATGCACAGCCGCATCTCCTAAATTCCCCCCTGAAAATAACACAAGGATTACGAAAATGGTTACGGTTTTTGACTAACGATCCATGTATTCTACCTGGACAATGTTCAGTGAATACTTGAAATTCCAATGGGTTTAGCTGGTTTGAGACAAACTGACACCCGAAATGATGCACCAAATTCTTCGTCCCTTTTTGCAGCGCCCGTATGGCGTAGTAATCAGCCCGCGCGTCTTTATTGTTTTCCATCGTCAACGCATCCAGGAGTTTGCCAAAAGCCTTAATCTTCAATCGGCGCTGTTCCTCAACCTCGTTTGCATCCCGACCGAACAGGATAAAACGCCAAATGTCAACATGGCTTGGTTGATGGCAAGCACCATCCGTCCACTGTATATCCCCTACCTGAACCGTCAGTGCTTGGTCGCTTGGCATAAACGGGTGCGGCCGTATGTTGGTAACCGTGAACATCCCTTCTATCGGCAACAGCTGCTGATAATGTGCGGCGTCCATGGCGAACAAGTCCGCCAGTGATCGGTTTAAATCGAGAAATGGCAGCTGCCGTAGTTGGGCCAAACTCCACCGCTTAGCCGGATCCGGTTCCAAGCAGTGCGCTAAGAATTCTTCACATGCGCACGGCACCTCCTTTAGCAGCTGCATTTCCGGACCGACCGCGAGACCGGACTGACCGGCATCTTTGTAAAATTCTTTGAGCTGCTCTATTGTACCATCATGACGAAGATATTCAGCACGGGAAAAACGGTTTTGCCGCTTAAGCGTTAACGCTTCATCGCAGTTGATCATTTGGATCGTCAGACATCCCAGCGCCCAACTGTCCACTTTGCTAAGATCCTCGGCTATCGTTGGCAGCGCTGCGATACCTTCCGGAGGAATATACGCCACGTTGGCGGAGCCTTCGCTGATCCATTTCATCCACAATTCTAACACGTCAGTACGATTGCCCAACACCGCCAAATCTGGATGATCCTCAAAAACGCCGGAGACGTTATCCCGGAAAATTCCTCCATGACATGGAAAAAATTTTTCCGCGGTATTTAAAACCGTCGACATGTAATGCCGAATGCGCTTCAGCTCTTGCTTTGCACCTGCGCCATAAAACATAGTTCGTGCCAGTAATTCAGTTGCTACAGGCCGTTGAGAAATTCAGATTGTTTTAGCTATGATATGATTACTATACGGGTTTGCGTGTGTGTCTGTGTAATAGAAACCGGGGCGAGAACTTCATAACATAACGCAACAAATCCTCTATCGTTCGAAAAATTCTTATAAAGAATTTTTTTAAAAATTCGTTTTTAGAAAAACATGTAAGTAGGCTTGAAAACTTTACAAAATTCTTCCGGAATGGATCTAAAGGCAACATCTCGAGAAAACGAACTGATGAACGAACTCCCATTTCCCGCACTCTGATGAGAGTTACCATTCTTTTTCCGCCACATTCCCATTCAATGTTTACTTCAAAGATATTATGCAGTTTTTTACAATGCAGACATATCGGTGCTTGTAGTAGTTTTCTTACCATAGTTTCCTACAATATCGATCCAACCACTTACTTGGATTTTGCTCCGACATTGTAATGTTCAACAACTTTTATGACGACCCAAACGTCTGCGTACAAATGCACGCGGTGAATACTGCGAGTGTTGCAAGTCTGCATACGTGTTTTAGCGCTCCATTATGCTCACACACATGCGTATACAATGAGGTATACAGTGTAATATAGTCTTGGCTCGCTTTTGCACATTTTCTAAGACAGACGCGATTCCTTATCAAAATCAAACAGTCTGTCCAATTACGAACTGATAGAAATTTCCGTCGACCGTGTGATTCATCGGCACCGGCAAAACGGCATAGAGCAAATAAATGCTACGGGTTGTTCAGTGGATGTGCCTATCTCGATATGCAGGTAAGCTATGACTTATGCATTGTTAACAATGATTTAACACAGTTTCCCGTTGGTGAGTAAAGCGTCCTTATCGGAGGTGGTTTTAGCGTCTACGTCATTTCCGGTGAGTGCCGATTCATTACTGTACGGTGAAAACAATTTACTAGTGCTATTAAAACTATTATGGTCATAATGTCCTTATGATCGAATCGAACGGTATATATATTGATAGCAATTAGCAATCAATAGTGACTGTAATCGCTATGTCGCTACATAAACGAAGAAGGAGGGCTTGATTTAGGCCATACAATGCGATCGCCTGATTCGTTTCCTATGGAACCTTCAATACATTTGTGAGTTACTCGACAGTAACTCACAAATGTTATTGAATGTTACACTATTCAAACTAATTCACTGCTACCAAAGCACTATGCGGCCAAGATGGCGAAGCACATCTGGTCGAAACCATTCAAAAAGGAATGTTGCGCCATGAGGGCAAAAAAATAAACAAAAAGCTCATTTGAAATAATTTACAGGATCCGCATTTTAGTCAGCAAAGGCTATAAAGTACGTGGCGAATGCTCGATAAATTGGAAATGCATCATTGATGGCGGTGGGAGATCGTAAAACTGGCACATCTTCAGTGCTGACGGGCATGTGCAAAACTGACAGTGCAACAAACGCCGCCATCGTCAGGGGTAGGTCCTCCAGTATTCCGCAACATCGTTGGGAAGTGGCTTACCTTCACGATTTGCGAGGTACTGGGCAGTATCCGGGCGAAATTGTCGAATTAAACCGAAGCTTCCGGTTTCTAATCTCTGAAGGAGCTCAGTAGCGCTTGGCCGTGCCTGCGGATTGAGTTGCAAACAGGTTTTAATAAATTCTTGGACGTTTGCCGGTATCCACTCGTCAATGCGAGGTAACGCTTTGTTGCTGTGCACGTGATATATTATCGCCATTTCAAACGTTATGGGCTTTCCTCTATCGCCAATGTACAGCGGCGGAGCACCGCTCACCAAATGCAGCACAACGCACCCAAAACTCCAAATATCGCACTTTCTTTCCAAGTTTACATTTGCAGTATAGAATTCCAAGGTTTCCGGAGCGGCAAACCGCCCATCCTGTCCTTGCTGGGCATTCATTTCGGTTCGGAAATTACGATCCATTTTTCTATTATTACGGCCTATATGTTGCCACATTATGTAATGAAAACCGCCGATCTTGATGGTCCCTTTAAAACCGGCGGCGCTAAAGAGAATATTGCCGCTGTTGATGTTGCGATGGACGATGCGGTGTCCGTACAGATACTGTAGACCTTGTAGCACCTCCCTTGTCCACTTAGCGATAATGTCGATGGGCAGTTTGTATTTAGCCGCTTCTTTCAATGAACCTCCTGAAGACGACAGCACGGTAATTTTATTTTTTCATACCCACCAATCTGGAAAAAGTTTTGCCGGATTACTTTATTTCGACAAACCTAAAGTACGGGCTTTATTGAGTCAGTGTATTTAAACCGCATTCACAGTAGTCCTCTAGCATAAATTTATTCTTAACTTGCGTTGGCATCCGTGTACTGATTCATGCATAATCTCAAATACGTGATTTAAAGACTCACTGCTTTAGATTTCTGACACGACGTACCTGCGCAATGTTCCGTAACAACTAGCATCTCTTTTGAGAAAACCCAGTTGCTGACCTCAACGCACTTACAGCCCAAGTTCTGTACAACATTTTTGCTTCCCTCTTGCAGTTCTCGAATCCTACAAATACTAGCCCATTCTTCTTTGTTGGCTTCCATAGTCAATGCATTAACTAATTGCTTCAAAGACGTCCACAAAACACGCTGCCTCTGCTGCTCTCTGTTGACATGGAATGCAAAGCGCCACATATCCGCTGCCCGCGGCTGACGATGTTCGTATACGAGTTCACCTTGCTGGTGTAGCACCGTGGCATAGGCGATCATTAGGACCGCGTGACCCCTAGATTCTTTCGGTTCTGAGGCCTCCTTAAAGGACAGTTGATGCTTAAAAAGCGCAGTATCGAGTGCAAAAAGCTCCTCCGTTGATTTGCTTGGGTCGAGAAAGGGATGAGCGCGCAGCTGTTGGAGACTCCACCGTTTCGCTGGGTCAACCGCCAAACAGCGACCCAAAAAGTCTTCGCAAACGGATGGTACCGGTCTAGCAAGCTTGAGTTTTGGCCCAAAAAATAGTTTTTTGTGCTGTCCCACATTCTTATACAATGCCTGCAGTCTCGGTAGCAGCGGTTGCTTCAAATCAAGCACGTGGGAAACATTTCGCATATGTCGGGAAAGTTCCAGTGGTTGTTCGTTGTCGATAAACCAAATGGTTAAGCATCCCAGAGCCCAGGAATCGACTTTGCTGGTGTCGCCGGTGGAAGCTGGTAACGCAGCAACACCTTCCGGTGGGATGAAAGCCACATTAGAAGAACTTGCGTTTATCCAATGTGTCCACAAATTCAACAAGGGCCGTGAGCTGCCGAGAACAGCTGACTGAAAATTTGGCAAAACTACGTTATCCGGAAATATTCCTCCATGACACCGCTTTGAATGGACTGCTGTGACCAAGACGGCGCGAATATCTCGGCGCGTGCTGTAGAAATCATCTTCCACGAAAATAGTCCAAGGATGGGCACGGATTTGGTCCTTGATCGTAGCATCCAACCCTAGCCGGATTTTTGTTACAGTTACTTTACTGCCTAAAATTTTATAGCCATTGAGCTCCTGGGCAAAACAAATCAGATTACTGGAAAAGCAAACGTACCGTATGTAGAATGTGCAGGAGTCTAATTGAATTATGCAGTAGTAGTAAAATTTTTGCAAAGGTTCGAATGACTAAAATGAGTCTAAGTTACCTTGAAACATTGTGATGCATTATTTGGAAAAGAGCGCTCGAAACAAAGAAATATCTTCGGACGTTGATGAATATTTGACCAAAGCGCCGAAACCGGATGAAAAATTCTAGCCTCTCTAAAATTTTCTTTTAATTCTAGTTTTGCTAAGATACGTTGGCTGCAACGCTCAAATATGTAGCTTTGCAGTTTGCTTTTGTAGAGCATATCACAGGCAAACCCGTGCCGGCACCGATAGCAACAACACTTAAGAACACAGAGTACTTCTTATCAAAGCAACCAACTAATGAAAGCCCACACACAGATTATTCTACTATGTTACCGTCATTCACGATAATAAGCAACAAACTATGTGGTAACCTACTACCTCGAACATTTCATACACTGGAGTACAAACTGTTGTTAGCAATGATAGGCGCTGAGAGCATCACACATGAACCGATATCGCTACCTATCGAGTAACCACTGCTTTTGTTTGCCAAACAAAATAATCGTTGCAAGCCATATTGTAGCGATAGTATTTGTACTACCGATAAGACCACCCAGTTATGAGTCATCATTCCACCGTGTTGTGAAATTTCTGTCCATTATCAGATGGCGCTGGCTAAGCGCGCATCGATCATCGACGGAGGAACAAAAGCAACCCGGATGTAGGCTTTAATGCCGAAATCTGACACACACCGCGCTTGCGCGCAAGCCAAAAACCAACTGGCCTCTGTAGGCAGCGCAGCTGCGTACAGAGCCATCAAAATGCATGAAGATGCCATCAAAACGCATGAAAATGCCCAGACAGGAAAGAACCCAAAACCAACCAATGACAGAAGGGCTGAATCATAAGCCCGCCCTGACACCATCTTACCGGCTACTTTTCCACCTCATGATTTTCTAGAACTCAGTCTTGTACTCGCTATGACCGCTTGGGATGGACATGTACCGTATTTTTCGAATTTAAGGCCTCCTCCAAAATTGAAACCTCCTCTATCCTATAAGCCTCCCCCCACTTTACTTCGAAAATTTAGTAGCCTCCTCCGCATTAGAGGCCTCCTTCCATATACATAGCATAGCAATAACGCTGGTTTAAAGGCTTCAAAAATTTAAAAGCCTCCCCTACAATATAAGCCTCCTCTGCGGTATAAGCCTCACCCCGAACACCTTTGAAAATTTAGAAGCCCAGGGCTTCTAATTCGAAAAATACGGTATCTTCCCAATCGGGGTCACCTGTATAATTGCGTTTAGTAAGTTAAGAGCGTCCACGACCGCACCATTGCCCAACCTTTCATCCCAACAGCCGCATAATCGTGGTAAAGGCTGATCGCTACCCCACTAGAACAGCAGCCAAATAGGCGGTTGTTACAATAGACAGATACTGTTATTGTAATAATGTTGTGCAACGACGGGCTGACTCTCATCGCTGGTAATGTAAAAATTGAACAGAAATCATTAGGCAATCTTATCTCGGAAGACTTTTGTTGTACTATTAAGAGTTATTAAGTTTTGAGTAAGGAAAGATGCTACTATTTTCAGATTACCTTATTACAGCATTCCGAGAGATAACGGGGCGTGAACAAAGTAGATAAAAATTAGGGGTGTAATTAACCGTGAATTTATTTTAAAATGAAGTTTGATACACTGTGTCAACTGTATAGTCTGAAAATTACTTCTTCGTTATTGGAAAACTATTTTATAGAAAGGAGAAGCGTATGGCGAATCTTTCGGGAAATTAATTTAAAAAAAGCACACACCAGCAATGTTGGAATAAAACCGTTTTGATAAATGCAAAAGAGCCATTGTGGAAGGAGATGCAAAAGAACTGCGTCCACTGTTTTTTTCAAGCTATAATAGTACGGGACGATGCCGACAAGCAGCGGAAATGGTCAAGAAATCTTATACAAATTACGCATAAGCAATGTAAGGTCGCCACACGATGTCGGCAAGTATTGGCACCTGATAACTGTAAAACTGAGTTATGGAATATGAACTTGCAGCACAGCTCATTAAAAATAAATGTCGCTCAGCGCGAGTCAAGTCATCGAGCGCTTTGCCGAATTTTATGAGAAAATACTACGGTGATAATTCTGATCAGCTATGAATGTAAAGCGTTTTTGATAATAATTATTCAGTTGTGTAAAGTTCCCCGCGGTACGGCGCGTTTAATGCTGTGTAAAAGCTGAAAACAGTCTCATTAAGGTGATTTCATGCCTTTAACCGTCCTGTTAAAAACACGGCAGTTTCGCAGGCTGCTAGTGTCACCGTTTACAAGGCAGATTGTAGTCTTTTTGCGTGTAATACAGGAACACAACATTATTCATATGGATATCCGTTGCTCCAACGTTTTGGTTCGAAAATCGAAGATAAAATGAAAACTAAGATACAGAGCGCACGTCACTTTGAAAAAGCTACTTTTAGTGGTTCAAAATCGTGCCTGGGACAGTTCGACATTTGTCCCAAATGTTCATCGCAGTTTGCTTCACCGGAAATGCCGCAGCTGGCCTTTGAAACAGTCGATCACCGCAGTATGCTCGCAGGATCGGCCGATGTGTACAATATCGGCTGCACCGGCATTGACTGTTCAGCGATGCCCGTCACATTTGACCTGATGCAGATGATGCAGCACAATTCCAAAACTGAACGCACATTGGTTGAATTTTGCAATTAATCTTGATACATTACCTGCTAGAAAGCGGAACCTAATACCAGCGCTTCAGGAAACCAGACATATGGTATAGAGTTCGTGAGCGCATGTCTTACCAGGCTTCGGACCAAAACCCCACCTGCAAGAGGCCCGCGCTCAAGCTCTGACTCTGACTCTGACCGCTCAAAGTCTGACTCTGACTACTCAAAGTCTGACTCTGACTGTCCAAAGTCTGACTCTGACTAAGAAAACTCAAGTAAACCTAAGAAACCTGAGAACACCTGAGAAAACCTAAGAAACCTAAGAAACCTAAGAAACCTAAGAAACCTAAGAAACCTAAGAAAACTAAGAAACCTAAGACAAACCTAAGAAACCTAAGAAACCTTCAGAATCAGAGTCAGACTTTGAGCGGTCAGAGTCAGACTTTGAGTAGTCAGAGTCAGAGTTTGAGTGGTCAGAATCAGAGTCAGAGTTTGAGCCTAGGCCCCTGCAAGAAGCTATAAGGGCGCGCTCCTGTGTAATAATGCAGACGTTCAACAAATGCTGCGGATCTGTATACCCGATGCAGAGCTCTGTCGTGCTTATACGCTGCGTCTACTTTGAGGTATGTAATGCCGTGCTGGCTCCATTTTGGAAAATTCTACGGGCTTTTCAGTACATTTACCTACCTTGATACGTCGATAAGCTCTGATTTGCGCTTATTTTGTATCATCGATAAAATGCAGTCCAATTTGCTATTTGCTGAATCATGCGTCTTTATCGGAGGTGGAATAACGCTTGCGCCGGTGAGTGCTGTCTCACTGCTGTTCCGAGATATAAATTGTCTCTTGAAAAAGTTAGAGTAGTACTAGCAATAGTAATGCATTAATCGGGCGAGTTACATGTCAAAAACAGAAAGTGAAGACTTTAATCGCTACAGCGGTTGCGGGTAAAATTTATGTCATATTCTGCAGCGCTCCGTGGAAACTCCAATGCAAATCAACGTTGATCCATGTCAAAATTATGACTAGTACGAAAAGCACTACGGCCATGACCAAAAGGCGAAAATCGCATTTGGTTAAAAAAAATGAGAAGAAAATGTTGCGCCGTGCACGTAAGAAGGGCAAAACAAGAATTTAAAGGAGTCACACGATCGTATATGTATATGTATTGGCATTTATAAGTTAACAAAGACGGCGCTATTAAAAGCGGCGTGCTCAGTAAATTAAAAACGCTTCACGTATCAGATACGACGATGACAAATGTGATCACTGGCACATCTTCATTACTGCCATGCTTGGTGAAAACATGACATCAGAGGAACAAACGCGGCCATCATCAAGGGTGGGTTCTCCAATGCTCCGCAACATCCACGGGAAGTGGCTCACCTTTACGATTTGCAAGATACTGCGCAGTATCCGGTCGAAATTGTCGAATTATACCAAAGCTTCCGGTTTCTAATTTTTTAAGGAGCTCATTAATACTTGGCCGTTTCTGTGGATCGAATTGCAAGCAGCTTTTAATGAAGACTTGGACGCTTGTCGGTATCCACTCGTCAATGCAAGGCAATGCGTTTTTGTTGATGTGGAAGTGGTATTGAATAGCAATTTCCAATGTTATCAGCTTGTTTTTAGGGCCAGTGTAAAGCGGTGGTTCACCGCTGACCAAATGCAGAACAACACACCCCATACTCCAAATATCGCTCTTCCTGCCCAGTTTCTCATCTGCAATATGGAAGGCAATGCTTTCCGGAGCGGCAAACCGTCCATCCGGTTCCTGTCGGTCTTTCACTTCTTGTGGTGAACTACAGTGAAAAGGTGAATCTGGGTCCGCTTCATATCGCCGCATGTAATGAAAACCGCCGATCTTGATGGTACCCTTGAAACCGGAGTCGCTGAAGAGAATATGGCAGCTATTAATGTTGCCATGGACGATGCGGTGTCCGTACAGATACTGTAGACCTTGCAGCACCTCCCTAGTCCACTTAGCGATGATCTCGATCGGCAGCTTATATTTAGCTGCTTCTTTAAATGAACCTCCTGAAAACGGACATTATCTCAGTTAAAAATTTTTTAATGCATACCCATCAAAGTTGACCAAATTTTCCCGGATTGCTGTACTATATTCTCGGCGATGCTGTTAGTGTTACTATACTTTATAGCATATATTTGGCTACGAATCACCATTATTGAGTCAGTGCAGGTCTACACCAAAATAGTTGCTCTAGTTGTCGCTGACAAATTTATTCTTGAATTGCTTTGGCATCCTTCTATCAATTTTAAGTTGTACAGTATTTGTAAATGTTTTGATGGTTCGCTGCTTCAGAATATTGCGACTACCTGCACAGTGTTCCGTAATAAGCAGCATCTCCATTGGGACAGTCGAATTGCTGGTACCGAAAAACTGACAGCCAAAGTGCTGCACAACATTTTTACTGCCCTCTTGCAGTTCTCGCATTCTGCATATAGTAGCCCATTCTTTCCTCCAGGCTTCCATCGTCAACGCATTAACCAACTGCCCAAAACAATTCGTCCACAAACTGAATTGCCTCTGCGGTTTTTTCTCTATGTATCCGCAGAACGTAAAGCGCCAGATATCCACTGGCCGCCTCTGGCTGAGACCTGGATGTTCGTATATGAGTTCACCTCGCTGATGCGATACCATTGCATCGTAGCTGTGAAAAACCGGATGTTCCCAGACGTTCTTCGAGCCAAACATCTCTTTAAAAGAGCATTCGCTTAGAAAGGACCTCTCTTTGAAAAGCTCAAGATCTAGCGTGAAGAGCTCCTCCGTCGATTTACTTAAATCCAGGAAGGGATGGTCACGCAGTTGTTGCAGACTCCATCGTTTCGCTGGGTCAAGCTTCAAACATTGTCCCAGAAAGTCCTCACAGACGGATGGTACCGGTCTACTCGGATTAATTTTTGGACCGATAAGCAGGTCGTTGTGCTGCCCCGCCGTCTTATACAATGCCTGAAGTCTCGGTAGTAACGGTTGCTTCAGATGAAAGTTATGAAACACTTCGGCACGGGAAATGTAGCGCATATGTCGGGCGAGTTCCAGCGGTTGGCCGTTGTTGATGAACCAAAGGGTCAGGCATCCCACCGCCCAGGAATCGGTTTTGCTGTTGTCGCCGGTGGAAAGTGGTAACGCCAGAACACCTTCCGGTGGGATGAAAGCCACATTAGGAGAACTTATGTTTATCCACTGTGTCCACAAACTTAACAAGGGCCGTGCCGCCCCGAGAACAGCAGGCTGGAAATTGGGCAAAACTACGCTTGTCGGAAATATTCCTCCGTGACATGGCTCTGAATGGATTGCAGTGACCAGGACTGCGCGAATATCGCGGCGCATGATGTGAAAATCGTCATCTACAAAAATAGCTGAGGATCTGCGCGAGTTTTGTTTTAGTTTGCAACACCAGCCCCAGCGGATAGGGGGAAATTTTTTTTTGCAAATTGCAATCACGGTTTTAAATTTTGTTTGCACTAAAACTGATAACACCTGAACAGAAAAAAATAAATAGGTTTTTGCAACGCACAACGGCACAAGTTTGTACGTCTATCTGATATCAATCTGAAGTAATAATAGAATTTGCGAAAAGGTTCGAATAACTGAATGAGAATAAATTACCTTGTGACATTGATGGACTATTCGAAAAAGGAGTCCGAAACCCAAAAATATCTTCTGACGCCGATGGCATTTTTTGCCGAAGCGCAAAATGCGGGTGAAGATTTCTGACGTCTGTAAGGTTTTCGTCGGTGCTGGTTTCGCTAAGATACTTTGCCTGCAACGCTCAGACAACTTTGTGTTTGTTTTATGTATATAGCGTATCACAGGCCAACCCATGCCGACGCCGACAGCAACAACAGTTAACAATAGAGAATACTTCTTATCTGAACCACCTGCGAGAGCATAAAATGGGATGATTAATTTTACAAACTGCTTCAAACACTTTTACTATATCTCGAGCTTTTCACTACGTTGCAGTACAAATTATTTATTTACAGTTGGGCGCTGACATGAGAGCATCGCACATGAACTGATACAGCCAGCCACAGCTCTTCTCTATCGGTACCATAAGCCCCAAGCGTTATTATCGTTTCAAGCCATAGTGCCTTCTACATACACCATAATATTATACGTGGATCGGTGAATGTAGTAAGCACATGTATTTGAGATCAGAGTTCAAGTTTGTCACACCTGCCACTTGACGCATGAGTAAGGCAGATGGAAGTTGCTGATTTTGTGAAAGCATTATGTAGTAGTGCGCGCACTCGATAACTGCAGTAGGTTTCCTACTCATGGTTTTTTTTTACAGTATGATGTACTCTGTATGTGGCTTCCTCCTGGACGAGCCTCCCCAAAGATTTTTATGGACATTTACCAGCGACACTATTTAATTATTTTTATTTAATTACTCAAGCTCAAACATCAGGGTAAACAGCCTTTAAAAAATCACTTATTACTCGGCATCAGTTGGCGAATGCGACCTATTCACAGTGAACAATTTGTCAAAATTTGTCACTACAGATACAGGCGCCGCTCCCATATTTAATGAATGCTGTTATGGCATATCGGAGCCAATTTAGATGTTTAACGTCGGTTTATCGCACATGCATTGTTTTGTTGTTGGATAGTGTTTTTAACAATGATCGGCAACACGAATGTAAGTAACTTAGTAGAAATCATTACGAGAAGCTCTTCTCAAGATAAGAGTAACTTATCTGCTTGCGGGTATGTACCATCGGTTCTCTCACGACCTTATTATCCGATCCAGGCGTACAAAATATGCTGTGAATCGGTATACCTATGTACAGCACTCAATATAGCCGTATTGGCTCCATTTTGCAGTATGTTCTGACTTACGCACTGCAAAATAGAACTGCATTCATCAGTAATAATATTACTGATAAGAATACAGTCCTATTTTGCTGACGCAAGGATCTTTATCAGAGAATTAACAGCTGCATTATTTTTAGTGAGTGCAGAGTCAGTAATGTTCGTGAAAACAAAAAAATATTTTTCAAAATATGTATTATATAGGGATGAAATAATAATGCATTAAGCTGATAGAACGATTAACATGTTGATAGCAGCCAGTAACGACTTTAACCGCCGTGCCGCTACTTGAGCGGTGCAAGGGGTCATGATTCAAATACTAGTCTTAAATACTCAAAAACGATAAATGCAACAGGAATGACAAATCGTAGGTATGAAAGTTGTCAGTACTGGCAGACCTGGATTCAGCACTACCGCACATATTGTGCAAATGACAACAAAGCAAGCAGCGTAACCGTAATTAGAGCTAGTTTCTCCAATGCAGCACAACATCAACAGGAAGTTGCTCGCCCTTACGATTTGCGAGATACACAGGGGTATCCTGCCCCAGGCTTTCGTTTTCTAAATTTTGAAGAAGCTCGGCAGCGGCTAGTCGTTCCTCCGGATCGAACTTCAAACATGTCCTAACGAATTCCCGGGCCTTGATCGGTATCCAGTCGTGAATTTGAGGCAGCTTCTTGTTGGCACTGTTGAGCTGATAAAGAATCGCCATTTCCGTTAACATGGGCTGATCCTTTGCGCCGGTGTATAACGGTGGTTCACCGCTTAACAAATGCAGCACCACACATCCAAGGCTCCAGATATCACACTTCCTTCCCACGTTTACATCCCCCGTGTAGGAATTCACAATTTCCGGAGCGGCGAACCGTCCGTCCTGTCCGGGCCGGGCGCTTACTTCGTGACATTCAGTGCGGTCCTTTTCCAGTTGCCGCATATACTGAAAGCCTCCGATCTTGATGATTCCCTTGAAACCAACTTCGCTGAAGAGGATGATGCTGCTGTTGATATTGCGATGCACGATACGGTGTCCATATAAATACTTGAGACCCTGCAGAACTTCCCGAGACCACTTAGCAACGATATCGATAGGCAGCGCATATTCAGCTGCATCTTTGAACGAACCTCCTAAAGGAAAGGCCTTTTATGATTACCTTTACAAAGCTTGCTTTCCTGTACAACTTTACTTTGTAAACGTTACGAAATGGTTTTAGGGTTCACTGTTTTAGATTTTGGCTGCAACGGACCTGTACAATGCTCCGTAACGACATGTATCTCCATTGGGAAAGCCAGGTGTCTTGCTTCGACCAACTGCCGGCCAAAGTGCTGCACAATGTTTTTGCTTCCCTCTTGCAATCCTCGCCTGCAAATGCTAGCCCATTCTTCCGTGCTGGCTTCCATAGTCAGCGCATTAACCAGCTGGCCAAAAGCCTTCCACCACAAAGCGCGTTTTTCCTGCAACTCTCTCTCCTCTTTTCCATATAATGCAAAACGCCAGATATCTGCCATCCGCGGCGGACGGTTACCGGGAAGCTTTTGGACGAGTTCACCCTGCTGATGCGGCAGCCCTGCATCATCGCTCTTTAGCACCGGATGATTCCTCACGTTCCTTAACTCAAACACCTCCTTAAAGGACAGCCTATGTTTAAAAAGCTCGGCTTCTAATGTGAACAACTCTTCCGTCGATTTAGTCAAATCCAGGAAAGGATGAGCACGCAACTGCTGCAGACTCCATCGTTTCGCCGGGTCCAGCTCCAAGCAGTGACCCAAAAAGTCCTCACAGACAGATGGAACCGGTCTAATCAGCTTGATCTTTGGGCCGATGACCATGTTCTTATGCTGCCCCGTCGGAGCATACAGTGCCTGCAGTCTCGGCAGTAGCGGTTGTTCCAGGTGAAACACCTCGACACCGGAGGCATAGCGCATATGCCGGACCAGTTCCAACGGCTGGTCGATGTTGATGAACCAAATGGTCAGACATCCGAGTGCCCAGGAATCAGCTTTGCTGGTGTCACCGGCTGAAGCTGGTAACGCTGCCACGCCTTCCGGTGGAATAAAAGCCACATTACGAGAGCTCGCGCTTATCCACGTTGTCCACAAATTCAACGGGTTGTGTGCAGGTCCGAGAACTGGTGGTCCGAGATCATCCATAGCAACGTTCTCGGGAAATATTCCTCCATGGCATGGCTCGGACTGTGTAGCCGTCTCCAAGACGTTGCGAGCATCGCGGCGAATGCTTTGGAAGTCGTCATCACGAAAACATCACAAGGTTGGAGCGCCCAGTCTGAATGCGTTGACTCAGAGCCATTCGGGCATGGGTAAAGGTTTTTTAATTAAGGCTTGGATTTCTTCGAACACCAAAAGCACTCTGTGTATCGGTTCAAAGCGAGTCTCGTAACTCTCGTTAGGATTCAGCAAATACTCTTCTCGAGGTGGTGGCTCCTTCGCGAACCGTATCTGTGGGCGTGCCCTCTTCATACAGTTAGCTTGCTGTGGTTGAGCAACCGTACCAAAGCTACCTTAGATTCGCCTTAAAATCGAGACACGTGCTAATGCAGCCCGTGAATCAGTTTTTAGATTATAGGATACGTGTGAGATATGCCTCGACCTTGTACAAAGGACGCGCGCTTGTCCCTAGCGACGCTGTCCGTATTGTTGCTGACAAACAGTGTCAGCAAAATCAGTTGCTGTTTTGTCGAGTTACGATTCACAATAAAGCGGTACTATTCCCACATATACCACAATTGGCGTGAAGTCCGAACTTGTCAAGGGTAGAGCACTGGATATTACTAGTTTCATAACTATTGCCTTCTCTACCGGCATACGTTTTTGCCATTCTCTGTACAATGTCTAAAGTTAACCAGGATGATGTGATTTTGATGAAATTCGATCCTGAAGAGGATGAATGGCAGAACTGGAAGGAAAGGTTCAAAAACTTCTTAGAATGGACAGAAATGCCGAAAGACAAACAACGAGGTCTCCTGTTGAATTCGTTGGGAGTGAAGGCTTTCCAGAAGCTGGTTTCACTGTGCCGGCCGAAACGACCTCGAGAATTCGACCTTGACGAATTACTGGTAAAGCTGGATACTGCTTACACGACAGTGACCTTCAGAGCAGCTGAATGGGCCGATTTTTATTCCATGGTGCAAGGTGACCTTACGCTGGAGGAATTTGCCGAAAGGTTACGGGATAAAACCACGACCTGTAAATTTCCTGCTGAAGTCGTAGAGGACAACCTGAGTGCGGCATTCATCCGTGGCATCAACAACCAATCAACGCGGTTGTACCTACTAACCCACGAACACAAGACGTTCAGTGAGACACTGGATGCCGCAAAGCAGTGCGAGAAAGGCCTTGAAGATTCCAGAAAGAGTACAAAAGATTCAGGAAATGAATTAGTTGCAAAGATTTCCAAGATGAAGTCCAAAAGAAGCAATGGAAAGATTCAGACCAAGGTTCAGTCCAAAGGAAAGTTGTCTGCGCCAAATGTCAGCGCCAGTTCCACTGAAGATTCAGAAGATGACAAGCCTCCGAAGCCGAGAGAGAAAGGATCCTGCGACAGTTGCGGTGGGAAGAATCATGTTCGTGAACGATGTTGGTACAGAAACGCAATCTGCAATAAATGTGGCAGAAAGGGCCACATTGAACGGGCATGCAGATCCGGTCAAGAAAATGAACGGGAAAATAAGTATATTTATTCTGATAACCACGAGCCATACGACGTTTTATGAATTCCTGTTAAGTTTCGTTAAAGAAGTTCCGAAATTTTTTTTTTCGTTATTTTTTTTTAAAGAAAGGATGATGTGAGATATGCCTCGACCTTGTACAAAGGACGCGCGCTTGTCCCTAGCGACGCTGTCCGTATTGTTGCTGACAAACAGTGTCAGCAAAATCAGTTGCTGTTTTGTCGAGTTACGATTCACAATAAAGCGGTACTATTCCCACATATACCACAATACGTAATAGTCGTACTGTGTACTGTGTAATGTTGTATGCTTTTGGTTAGGGTCCAGCATAAAGTGCGAATTCAGATACCGGTACCTTGAGACATTGTGATCGGCTACTAGGAAAAGAACGTCCGGAATCCAGAGCTGAGGTCTTTAGTCGATAAAGTTTGTTTCCACACCCCAAAAGCAGAGTGACCACCTCTAGTGTTACCGCACCGATAGGAGAAACCAGTTCATGCAACAAGTTGGGTACGTTAGCCGCTACGCTGATGCAGTTTTAACTGATGCAGCTCAGTTCGTTTTCCATAGCGTGTTACGGCGGATTACTGTCGATATGAAGACGATAATTTTAACTGGCGCGCAATTCCTTATCAAAGCAAACATAGAGAACAAGCAAATGGATTGTTTAAACTTGCTCGCGATATCAAGCGAACAATTTCTGTGATACAGTAATTTATTTCTTAGTTCTCCAGTGTGTTGGCGAGCAAAAATAATTTTGCTTTTAACCATACTTAGAGCGCCGCAAAGTTAACCGTTGCATGAGTAACAGTTAGTTCTCCAGTGTGTTGGCGAGCAAAAATAATTTTGCTTTTAACCATACTTAGAGCGCCGCAAAGTTAACCGTTGCATGAGTAACAGTTAGTTCTCCAGTGTGTTGGCGAGCAAAAATAATTTTGCTTTTAACCATACTTAGAGCGCCGCAAAGTTAACCGTTGCATGAGTAACAGTTAGTTCTCCAGTGTGTTGGCGAGCAAAAATAATTTTGCTTTTAACCATACTTAGAGCGCCGCAAAGTTAACCGTTGCATGAGTAACAGTGCTTACGCATTTGACGATACCATCATCGCTTTGGACCTTAGCGTTGTCGTCGTTGTGTACGTATGTATATAATATGAGATCAGGGGTTAAGTTTGTAATGCATTCCGGACTGCCACATAAATACTGTGAGTAAAGTCAAAAGGAAATTACTTTTACTTTATGAGCATGCGTTGCACGCATTGAGTGCTTACTACGAGCTGTTACGAATTACCACGTTTTTATACCGTGGTACGGGCGAAAAGGAATGACTGTTTCAAAGCTACCGCGGCAAGCCTTCGCTAAGATTTCTTGCGAAATAAATCCCGTACCGGAAACTATTTTATTTCTGTTTATAATCTGTTTGACCAAAGCCAGCATATATAACTAAACATCAGTTTATCGCTTGCGCACAAATACTTGCGGCGATAGTGTTTTGTAATAAACCCAACCCTTGGTATATAAGTAGTAATTACAACTGCGAATACGCACCTTTATCTCGCAGAATCGTTTTGAAAAGATTTCAGAGTGGTTGTGGAACAAAAGGATATTGTTTTGGATTTATCTCACATATCCCAGAGATCATTGGCGCGATTACTCGATAACACCAGCGTGCTTTATTAGCCGTGCAATCGCTGTTTTAAAGTCTACTGCACTTAGAAAACTAGGTATTCACTTATTTTAGCATAGTTTTGAGTTATTTTACAGAGAAAAATGGATGATGCATCGCATGGCGGATCTTCCTTGAAACTTATTTTAAAAAGCGCTGCACAGCAGCGTTTGGCATACAGTCACTATGATATTGTCAACGAGACCATTGACAAAGAAAATACCAAAAAGAATTGTCCTCAAGGTGAATTTCAAAAGACGATAGTGCTGGACGAAGCGGAAGAGAAGAAAAGGTCTGTTGAGCTTGCGCATCGTCTTACGCATCCCGAAGTCCAGGATCGTGAAAGAACATCGGCATGCATCATTTCTGCGCTTCCGGCTAAAGACTGCAAAGCCGATGTCCTGGAAAAGAGACACGCGCTTGCGAAGCTGCTCGTTAAAATTTCGGGAAACACCAAGCAGATCATCAAGCACTTTGCCGCGGAATTACATGATAATGCTACCGTGCTAGTGATTTTCACGGAATATGAAGGTAAGCACCTTTTTAATTATTCAGTTTTTTCCAGAACTTAGAAAAAAATGTAATATTTGTTAAAGGTGACTTCATGCCTTTGTCTGCCATGATAACAACCCGGCGATTCCGTGTATCGCTGGTGCCGCAGTTCACCAGCCAAATTTTAACCGGTTTGAGCGTTATCCACGAATACAGCATTATTCACAAGGATATTCGCTGCTCCAACATTTTCGTACAAACGTCGGAGAAAGATGGAAAAATAATATACACGCTGAAGATCGCTCACTTCGAGAAGTCGTCGTTTGACAGTACGAAATCAAGCAACGGAGAGTACAGCATTTGGCCAGAAGGTTCATCACAATTTGCTTCACCGGAAATGCAGCAGCTCACGGTTAATACAGACGACCAACGCACACGAATCGGATCCGCAACGGATGTGTTCAGTTTCGGCTGCACCGTCATTGAAATGGTACAGCGTAGTCCGCCACGGTGGATCTACTACAGAGACGGACAGATGATGCAGCACAGCTTTAAAGGCGAAAGTAAATTTACCGAATTTGTTAGTAACCTTCATTCATTGTCGGTTCACGCAGCGCAACCCGATACCAGCGCTTTTGGCAGTCAATTTAACGCTTTGGCTTTCGTTACCGCATGCATCACCAGGTGTCCGGACAAACGACCCACATGCGCGCAATTACAAGAGCACGCCCTTATTACAAACTGGAAATGTGAACTGTGCTAGAAAATTTATAAATAATAAAGCCAAAGTCCGTGGAAAACTGGGCATTAAAAGGCGCTATGGATCGTTTCACATCTGCTTGCTCTTTAAAACTTTTGGTCAGTCTGTCGTCCGTTCCCTTTGTCTCTGTTCTTGCATCTAGACAACTATCTAGCTCACACCAAAGCCGAGGCGAGTTTTTGTTATCGTAACCTCTACGCAAAAAGCAGCAATGAGTACGCAGCTTCTATTGTTTCTTGCACTACTGAAATGTTGCCAACTTGCCATCGCATTTTGAATATACGGTGTCCACAAGCGTAAAGCTGTTGATCGTTTTGCGGCGGAGTGTTAGGATTTATATTATGATTACTCATTGTGTACCTATGTGTAACCTAATATCTGATCATATGCACCCAGTACACTGATCCCTAACTGATGATACATACGGGCTAAGTCCTGTGTAAGTGAGTGTGTTTACCGTACCCTGTGTGGTAATTAAAGCCGTGTCAACAGCATTGATTACTTGAACATCGTGTATCAGTCTAATGAACAATACGACGGGAAGTGTGTTGGTTCGTTATAGGATACGTGTAGTCAGTACATTATCCAATATATTCTAACACGGAGTAAGACTAAAAGTATATCTTGGCAGTAACTAAAGGCGGCAGCTACTAAACTGATGACATTTAACAACCTTTAATACTCAAACCAAAAGAGTTGGCCGTTGCTAATCATAACCAGACAGACTGAATGTTTCCGGTCCTTCCATTTTCGTCGTAGACAGCCAAGCGGCAACTAACTTTACAACTTTCAAGACAGTTCAGATTACCAGCTTAACATCGGACTCTACGGGAAGCACCACTGAACCACCTACATAAGTGATTCATAGCATAAGACATTATTGCAATGGCAACTTCTAAGCTGCCCCTAGTGGGTTGGGTTAATCCACCCGTACCACGATAAACGAGGTTCGATGGTTCGTCGGTAATTACCCAGATCTTAAGTAAATCACAATCTTACGTAACGCGCGAATTCAGGAACATCATCATCAATTTAATCAGAATCAGGGCAAGGGCAAGGGCAAGGGCAAGAGCAAGAACATGTGGGAAAGTCAACCGTCTGCCGGTCGAGGCAGCGTGAGCACGTCTACTGATTTCACATCCAGAAAAGTCAGAACATCTCAGAATTCTTCATAACCGATAACATGGATTCACAATTCTACTGAGATAGGCGGTACATCTGTTTCCGATTGAGTTGTTACCAATGACAATCTGTAGAACATGATTCTACGGCTACATCCCTCACAGTGGCGATAAGATATACGTGTCTTATCAAGAGTCAAAGAAAAACGTAACGAAATGAATGAGGAAACAGAAAATTAGATTTACTATTAGTAAGCTGCTGATCGTGGGGGATCGAAGGAGGGTTGGTGCTCCGGATGGAAAGTTGCTGCTCCCACGTGTTATTGAGTTACTTCTTCAACACTTCCGTTTATGTAGTCAAGCGGTGCGGATGGCGGTACTGCTGCAGTTCATCCTGGCTTGGGCGATTCCTCAGTGTTGTCCACGTTGGTGCTGGGGATGGGATGGCAGAAGGCAGTGCGTCCTGGGATCCCTCACAGTGGACTTTTAGGTGTAGTTAATGTTGCAGTAGCGGCAGCGCTTGTGGGATTTACTGATAGTTTCCCTCACAGTTGATGTTGCAATATCGTGAACCCCATGTGCATGGATGATGCAGTAGGTACTTCCGGTGATGATGAGGTTACTATTTAAACGGTACGACTATGTACTTGTATTCGTAGTTTAATGCGGGGAACTCGAAAGATTTGATATTCTAAGTCGGCAATAGACATTGCGGTCAATTGTGAATACTCGTAGGTGTATGCAGTGCGAACTGCAAAATAACGTAAGCAGTGTTAATTCTTAGGTACGATCTTCCCGTCAAGAGTGAAGTTTACTATTAGTTGAATCCAGTTCGATGGTAGTTAATGTCGGCACGTCGGTTGCATTCAAAACATCCATGCCCGGTGGTTTCCAAGTTACTTTTGCAAACAAAGCTTGCGGTTAATGGAACATACTTTTTGCATGTTCGTAGCCGGATGAAACGAAGTGATTATCGGTTTGGCGGTGTGGTGTTCACTCAAGCTTATGTACTCGTATGCATTAGAGGTACTTTGTGCTCATCTGCGGCGCACATTATCGAATGTGCTGTTACTCATCAGTGCTGTAGCGCGAGGTGACTAACATTGCACTGTTTTACTATTTAGTGCATTCTTTGTGTGCTTTGCACTATTTTTACTGTAACAGTGTTATTCTTTGTTATTTACACTGTGTGTACTATATAGTGCATTGTTTAGTACTTTGCACTATTAATTATTACTCTACAGTGTTCGTGTTCCTATGCTGTACACTGTGTATTTAATTTTAGCAGTATTGTTCTTTTTGTACTGTGCACTGTGGTACTTCTGTGTAATGCCATTCTTTTATAACTCTGCACTACGTTGCTGGTGAATGGCACTTTCGCCATTATTACTGGTAATGGCACTTTCGCCATTCTTACTGATATTGATATTTTCACCATGGTTAATGTTTATATGTATTGTATACTGTCATATATAATTATTGTATTCAAGTTACTGCTGACCGTTGGTTGTCACCTCGACCACAAGTCGAAGGAGAGCGTGATGCATAAGCGGTCTCCGTTGTAGACAATGCCGGTTTTTTACGCTTCCGTTGCTTTTTATGCTTCCGATTACTTTCTGCAATACTAATTCCTTCCACTGTATTTGAAACTTCCCTGGCGCCGTTACTTGCTGTGGCGGCTGAGTTACTGTTATCACCGTTAGTAAGAGGCGTCGTACTTACCATTTTACTGCTTATTGTATTGGGCAGAAGGGGATCTGCAGATACTTTGGAAGTTCCAACCTGTGTGGTATCTCCAGAAGACTTGATACCTGTACCGCTTGTGGGTGATGTAGTCCGGTTAGGTGCAAGAAAACTGCTGTTCGGCGTGTGCGGTGCTAATAGCGGTTTGTTCATGTCAAACTCTGTTACTGGTAGTTTAGCAGATGTGGATACTGTATTCGAAGATCTTTTAGGCAGTACTTTACGGTTAACTTCCGGAAAAGGTTTACCATTCATAAAAGCGGTGCCCAACATTATAAAGTTACTTGGTAAATTGGGCAAAACAAAATGTATGAAAATACTTTTGTGTAGCAAACCGAAATCTGATTACTATTGCATAAGCACCAGCTACTTTGATGTTCTTTCTCAAAAGTCCAATGTTGATTGCAAAATCAATAACAGTGTTTTGCTGTTTATAAACAGAACCGTTCATTTTTAATTCTTTAACAAGACTTTCACTTATGACACTGAAAGTGGAACTGCTGGCTACTTTGGCACTGATTTCTTTTCCGTTTATTTCAATAACAGTGTTTGCCGTATTACTAATAGGGTGAAGGTGTAGACTAAATGACAGTTTTTCTTTAGCTGGATACTTTACATCATTGGTAGCAGCACTGGCTGATTCCGAAGAAAACGTAATGTGCGAGATTTTCGGAAATACAATGTCATCCTCGTTTACTGTAACGTTGTACAGGCGTAGAAAATCAGCACCCAGAATTACTTTATATTCCTTGTTTGCTATTTTAAAAGATCCACTGTCGGGAATCATGAAAAAGCGATGGTAAAATGCTCTACCATTTAACAGAAATTTAGTGGCTACTGCTGGACAGTTACTTAGTATTTCTCCATTGCCGGTGAAGTCAGTTAGATCAAGTTTGCTTTTGGTGTTAAAAACTGAAAACGCTAAACCTGAGTCTACTACCGCTGTTTCCGTAATGAAACTATGCTGCTCGTTAGTACTGGCGATGGTATTAAAATATTTGCTGTTGATGACTGTACTTGTTGATACTTTAAAATGCTGTTCATAACAGTCAGTATTTATTTCGTTATTTTCATTAGGGTCACCAGCATTTACTAAATATTTCGTAAGAGTGGATGGAGGTTTATAATGTTCACCATACAATGCTTTGTAGTCTTTACCAGCAAATGGCTTCATTCGATTTCCACGAGGCGTTGACCAAAAGGAAATTTCTTTACCTTTACGATTTATATACGAGTAATATCGGTTAGCAAATAAATACTCGTAATACTCTCGCTGTACACGTTCCAAGATATCTTACGCAATTTTATACAAATGTCGAGGTTTAAAACAACGAATGAAAAGTGCAAACAATGCGGACAAAATAATTTTCCGTTTTCGAATCTATAGCTGTCAAATACTATTCTTTCTTTAGGAATTTTAAGTTTACTTGCTGCAGTGCGATACTTTTTGTATTTTAAATACTGTGGGTAAGGATTCGCTCTAAATTCAGTATGCAGATTGCCGTTGTCATCGATATTGAATGAACTCAAATACTCATAATTACTGCGCTTATTAATACTCCGTATATTTACTATTGCCGGTGGTGCACTTGGCTGCGAATGTGTTGCATTCGACTCTGCCTGCTCAGTGGCCAGCTGGCTGACCAAGTTTTCATGCCTTACATACTCAGCTTTTGACTCGTTCAGCTTGTCATATATTTCGGGAATACGCACTTCGTTCCTGCCTCTTCCTGTCTGCGGAAGAGAATTACTGTCTGCATCCTGTGCTGACTTGAGCACAGGCCGTGGTTTCTTACGCGGCATGAGCGACGCGGTGAGTGTCCTCTGACTATCGCTCGGAACTACGCATATCTGTCTGTATACTGTTCTGGTCTACGCTGTATGCTGGTTCTGGTCTACGCTACGCTAGCAGCGGACAACAGGTCATCTATGTCCAGAGAGAAACACTTTGTAGTAACAGGACAAGGGAGAGACTGTGGATACTGTATAGACCTAGCTGGGAAACTCTTGGAGCGAAGCGGTTAATGGCTCTGAAGAATGCAAACTGTTCAGTCTGATCTCTATGAACGACCAAGAAAATTCTGCTGCTAATGTTTTCCGAGCGCTTTTGCTATGTACGAAGTTAATGTAGGTCAAGCTCCTTATAGCATAGCACTCCAAATTATATTTCAGCACAAAAACAAACTTCCGTTAGATTTACTATTTTTGCAACTCTTTCCCATGTAAATTATGACAAAACAATCGGTAAATCAGTTGTAAATTTACTTTATTGCGAAGTGTTAATTTTATCTCCTCAAAAAGGCAGTCAGGATAATAAAGTTCAAAGTGAGTTTATGAGTATTTATCAAAATTCAGTTATTATTAACTCACTTAAATTACTGGACAGTCTGCAGCGTTATCCGGTCGTTAAGCTTCTGGCACGTTGGTCCAGGAGGAAAGATGCCGGTTGGGTGCTGTCAATGGTTGTTGCTGCGCAGAAACCGGTTGTGTGTTGTTCAGGATAGGAGCCGGTTATGGCGGTGGAAGTGTAGTTGGCAAGGGGGAAAAGAGTACTGTTAGCAAACCACAACGGGATGGAAAAAGTGTTGCTAGTTTCAGCGGATCCGGAAAGGGCGTTTGATGGAATGCACTGGGTTAGATGGTAGGACACCCAGGAGCGCCATGCAATGGCAACTTCTAAGCTGCCCCTAGTGGGTTGGGTTAATCCACCCGTACCACGATAAACGAGGTTCGATGGTTCGTCGGTAATTACCCAGATCTTAAGTAAATCACAATCTTACGTAACGCGCGAATTCAGGAACATCATCATCAATTTAATCAGAATCAGGGCAAGGGCAAGGGCAAGAGCAAGAACATGTGGGAAAGTCAACCGTCTGCCGGTCGAGGCAGCGTGAGCACGTCTACTGATTTCACATCCAGAAAAGTCAGAACATCTCAGAATTCTTCATAACCGATAACATGGATTCACAATTCTACTGAGATAGGCGGTACATCTGTTTCCGATTGAGTTGTTACCAATGACAATCTGTAGAACATGATTCTACGGCTACATTATCATCACAATCCATAGACAAACCGTAGATCAAGAAATCATCAAATACTTTTAAGTGCTAGAACACTCCGTAACCACCTTCAGCTTGTTGCTGCCTTCTAATTGGCTACTTATGATGCTTCATACTGGAATTACGCGATCACTGGGAATGTATGGCTAAACTTACAACCAACAGACCTACTACAGGTGACGACGGACACTAATCCGATCTTCGCAATGTGAACAAGATATTGTTCATTAAAGCAAGAGACCTACACTGTCTGCAATATGTGAACACAAAACGCTTGCAGAAAATTTCCAGAAAATTCGACGATGTTTAAAAAAACACTATGAAAATGAACAACAAATGAAATTAGTTTCACCGCCTCACAAAAAACTCAGTAACAGCCTACTGCCTCCAGTATTCTGCAACGCCTTCCGGAAGAGGATTTCCGCCGCGTGATGCTTCATACACAGGGTAACCAATATTGAATACTCCGCTTGTATCAAGTATGGCGGCATATGGCCGGTTTGCGGGATTAAACTGCAAACATTCTTCAACGAAACTCCGTACACTGCATGGTATCCAGTCCGGAATTTCCGGCAAGATTTGGTTGCTCTTCAGGTGGTATAGCACAGCCATTTCCAACTCGATAGGCTTACCTTTGGCTCCTTTATACAGCGGTGGCTGACCACTGGCCAGATGCAGCGCAATGCACCCTAGGCTCCATGTATCACACTTGCGTCCGGTGTGCAGGTCGTGCTCCTTTTGAGCGTCCATCATTTCCGGGGCGACAAAACGCCCATCATCTCCGCGACGAACACTAATCCCGTTCAGGACGGACGCGTCACCTTTCAGCTCCACATGTCGCATCAAATGGAAGCCGCCAATTTTTACGGTGCCTCTGAATGGATACTCGGAGAAAAAGACAAGGCAGCTGTTTAAATTGCGATGGACGATGCCGTGTCCGTGAAGGTATTTAAGACCTTCCAATACCTCCGAAATCCACCTCCCAGTCAAATCAATTGGTATATGATACTTCGCAGCGTCGTTGAAGTTCCCTCCTAAAAAAACATTTACCAATTTATGGGACACTTTGCTTGTAGTTGGTTGATTTTTCATGACGCATGCCTATCACCTGGACAGTGCTCCGTAAATACTTGAAATTCCATTGGGAAGGACTGATGTGCTAAAAACTGGCATCCGAAATGATGCACCACATTCTTGATCCCCTTTTGTAGAGCCCGTATGCCGTAGTAGACAGCACGCTTTTTGGTTTGAGCATCGGTATCATTTTCCATGGTCAACACGTCCTCGAGTTTGCCAAACGCATTAATCTTCACTCGACGCGCTTCTTCTACTTGCTTCGCATCCCGACCAAATATCACGTAACGCCAAATCTCGACGTTCTTCTCTGGATGATGGCCGCCGTCAGTCCACTGAAGATCCCCAACCTGAACCGTCAGTGTTGGGTCGCTTCCCATAAACGGGTGCGGTCTTCTGTTGGTAACGATGAACTTTCCTTCGACCGGCTGCAACAGCTGATAATGTGTGGCATCCAGTGCAAACAATTCAGTGAGCGAAAGATTCAGATTGAGAAACGGCAGCTGGCTTAATTCATGAAGACCCCATCGTTTCGATGGATCCGGTTCCATGCAGTGAGCCAGAAATTCTTCACAAGCGCATGGTACTGGGTGTAGCAATGCCATTTCCGGACCGACAGCAAGACCGGCTTGACCGGCATCTTTGTATAAGTCTTGGAGCTGCTGTAGCGTGGCACAATCACCAAGATATTCAGGTTTAGAAAAACGATTTTGCCGTTTAAGCTTTAGTGGCGCATCACAATTAATCAGTTGGATTGCCAAGCATCCCAGCGCCCAACTGTCCACTTTGCTGAGATCATCGATTAACGCGGGCAGTGCGACGATACCTTCGGGTGGAATATACGCGATATTGTCGGAGCTCTCGTTTATCCATTTCGTCCACAGTTCACAGACGTTTTTACGATCGCCCAACACCGCACAATCTTGATCTTTTATCCATTGCATCAATCGTTCGGCGTCAGTTTTAAAATTGGGATTATCCTCAAAAACGCCGGAGACGTTATCCCGGAATATTCCTCCGTGACATGGCGGAGATTCCGTCATCACCTCCATAGCGGTGCTTAGCACGGTGAAAATGTAATGTCGAATGATTTCCAGTTCTTCCTGCACACCTACATTAGAAGGCCATGAAAGACAGTTTGTACTTTGTACTAGAAACCCCACACGTTGGCAATACTTACCTTACCAGGTTACAAAAGTAAAAAAAAGCAATGTCTTAAAAAATCTACAAACAATTTCTTTAAATTTTTATAATGTACTGTTAATTTTTTCATTAAATCCCAAATTTGTCGTAAAGGTATTAATGCTTTGAGTCTTCTTTTTTTACATGTGCGCGAGCAAAACCATTTACATATCTTTCATGACAAAATCAGCATTTATTACCGTCCTAATTAATTAGCATATGTACTTACTCTGATCATGTTGTGCCATATTGATACGTGTATCCAAACGACTGTGCCAAAGATTTTATATTGTACAAACTCTACTGCATGAAGTACCGTATCACCTGATTTACCTTAAACCGCACTGCCGTAGCCAACCTGTGCCAACCAAGCGCCGTTTAGCCCGTTAATGTGCCGAGTGAGTGTTATATTGGCTCTGTACTTTTGCGGTTCTACGGCATAATAAATTCTGCGAAGACAGACACGAGTCGTTATCAAAAGCAAGCAGCCCGTCCTAATTGCAGACTGATAAAAATTTTCATCGGCAGGAAAACGATGGTATTACGCATCAGCGCGCCAAACGGTAAAAGAACACTACGAACTATCTATTTTCAGTGCATTGACTTCCATGTGCCGGTAAATTCCGGCCCGCTGCATTAGAGTCCTACCTAGATGATTCATGCGTCTTGTTATCAAAAGTGGTTTTAACGCCTGCGTCATTTCCGTTTTGTCTTGACTTATATTGCGCAGCGCCCGGCACCTGGTGGCATAATATTATGTGCATGACTTTGTTTTATACTCGTTCGTAAGTAGTATGGAAGCGTTATTCAATTCACACTATTTCAAACCTAGACGCAAACCTCAGTTAGCTTTGTATATTACGTTAAATCGCTCTTTAAATGCTTAAAGCAGTTTTTTTCAAAACCAGACGACACATTTTTTAAAAAATGCTAATAAAATACTTGAACAAATTTTATCAGCGTCAAAAGGTTAACTAGCAAAAAGTACGTTGTCGTGCATTGACAGACCGGAGCGAGAATTAAGCAAAATTGCCGTATAGGTCTGCACAAGATTAGTACATTGCGGAAAAAAATTAATTAGCGTTCACTGCCTCCAATATTCAACAACGCCTTCCGGGAGAGAAGTACCGCCGCGCGCTGATTTGTACACAGGGTCATCAATATTAACACACAATAATCCGCTCGTATCAAGTTCAGCTGCATATGGCCGGTCGGTCGGATTAAACTGTAAACACGTAATAACGAAGTCTCGCATTTGATGTGGTATCCAATTAGGAATTTCTGGTAGGGTTTTGTTGCTCTGCAAGTGATAGAGCACAGCCATTTCCAGCTCAATGGGCTTGTCTCTGGCTCCTTTATACAATGGCGGTTGACCACTGGCCAGATGCAGAGCAATACAACCAAAACTCCAGGTATCACACTTTCGACCGGTGTGCAGGTCGCTCTCCTTTTGGGTGTCCAACATTTCTGGTGCGACAAATCGCCCATCTTCGCCGGGACGGGCGCTAATTCCGTTCTTCTGGGAGGTATCACCTTCCAGTACCACCTGGCGCATTAAATGGAAACCGCCAATTTTAAGGAAGCCTTTGAATGGGTTCTCGGTGAAGAAAATTAGGCTGCTGTTTAAATTGCGGTGCACGAGTCCGTGTCCATGGAGATACTTGAGGCCTTCCAGGATTTCCAAAATCCACTTCCCGATGACATCAACCGGTATATGATAAAGCGCAGCATCCCTCAAGTTTCCACCTAAAATTTACATTGTTATGTTACTGCAGAAAAACGAACTCATTCTTAAATTCCATAGAGATATTTTTTAAGTTTTTAAATGAGTACGGTTTCGCTGCTCACCTGAACAGTGCTCCGTGAAAACTTGGAATTCATTTGGAAGGGACGGATGTGAATAGAACTGGCATCCAAAATGATGCACTACATTCTTGGTGCCCTGTTGTAACGCTCGTATACCGCAATAATCAGCCCTCGCGTTTGAACGAGCTTCTGCACTACTGTCCATCATGGTCAATACGTTCACCAATTTGCCGAATGCCTTAATTTTTCCTTGCCGCGATTCCTCAATCGCGGCCGCGTCGCCAAAGAGCACGAAGCGCCAAATATCAACATTTTTCTGCTCAATGCGGCCACTGTCAAGCCATTGAATAACCCCAACCTGAACCGTCATTGCTGGGTCGCTTTTCATAAAAGGGTGAGGTCGAGTATTGGTAATACTGTATTTGCCTTCAATCGGTAAAAGCTGCTGATAGTCGGCATCAAGCGCAAACAAGTCCGACAGTGAACGCTTTAAATCGAGGAATGGAAGCCTCAGCAGGTCGGCTAAATCCCACCGGTTAAGCGGATCTGGTGTCAAGCAGCGCGCTAAAAATTCTTCGCATGCAACCGGCACAGGTTTAATCAAGTGCATTTCCGGACCGACCACTAATCCGGGTTCACCAGCACCTGCGTAAAACTCCTTTAACTGTTGCAACGTGCCACCATTGCGGAGATGGTCACTCTTGCCGAAACGATTTTGCCGCTTGAGTCCCAATGGTACATCACAGTTGATCAGGTCGATCGCCAGGCATCCCAACGCCCAGCTATCAACTTTTTCGAGATTGCCAGCTAACTTCGGCAGCGCTGCGATACCTTCCGGAGGAATGTACGCGACGCTAGAGGAGCCCTCGTTAATCCATTTCATCCATAATTCTAAAACGTTTTTCCGATCGCCCAATTTCGCGGAATCTTGATCCTTTATCCACTTTTTCCACAGTACGGTCATAGGTTGCGAACCATCATCATCAAAAACGCCAAAGACGTTTCCACGGAAAATTCCACCATGACATGGCGGAAATTTTTCTGTCACCGTGAGCGCTGCGGTCAGTATCGTGAAAATGTAATGTCGAATGATTTCCAGTTCTTCTTGCACACCTACAAAACATCTGGTTTCGTTCGGAGATTCAAAACGTGAGTTAGAGTTTTATAAAAACAAACCGAAAAGCATAAGAAAGGAAACAAAACCTTTAATAACCGCTAATAAAAAATGGCAAAAATCTAATAATACCGAAATCGATTCTAAAATGAAGACTGAGGTCAGCTTGCATGTCTGGAAGAGACATCCGAAGCAGCCTCAACTGCCAAAATTTATTGCCATATTCATCCAGCCGCTTACCCGGATTTTGATCGGCCATTCTTGGCACCCGAATAATGTTTTTCGAGGAAAGGAAACGCTTTGGGCAAGTACCGACTGTATGTGCTAGTATTACCTATCCGCGATTGCCCAACCGGAAAGCACCATGCATGCCCTTAACAGTACAAATGCAGCGCAGCGTATGAAATTATGAATGCATGCTTGATGCTTCGTACTTCTGCGGTTCTACCTACATAATTCGTGCAACACAGGCAGGCGCGAGGATTGCTTATCAAAAGCAAATAGTCTGTGCTAGTTACAAACTGATAACAGTTTTCATCGACAGGCAGCCATGGCATTATATGCACATCAACCTGGTAAACGCACTAGTGCAAACACACACTGGAAACATACCCGCAAACACATACGTTATTATGTCGGTAAATTTATCTAACGTCAAAGCACAGTCCTGTGTTGGTGATTCATGCGTCTGGTCAAACGCCTGCGTCATTTCCGGTGAGCGCTGATTCAGCGCTGCGTCACAAAAACGGTGTTACGTGTACCGTAATGATACACTATGCGGTGCAGACGCTTTACGTGATTCTAACAGTTACAGTAATAACAATCAAAATTGTTGTACCGCTAGGTTTACGTTCAGTTAAGTCAATGTTTTTGCCAAATTGCCCTAATTTGTAATCTTTGGGAGTTGCTGTTGATCTCTAAGTTTTCATGTCAGGCTGCCTTAACCTTTTTTATACAGCGAAACAATCAAAGTAACTCTAGTTACTTGGCAGTTGGCATTAACCAGTTCAACGGCATGCTTTTATTATTCACCATTATTAGATTCATGTGCTGTACTAACATAAAAAGGAACGCTGTAAATTTTTTTTTGTGGTGCAATCAGACAGAATGTTGTATAAAAAATAAAAAGTACATTATTTTAAAATAAAAGTCAAATCTTCCCATGACAGACACCTACGAGGTTTGGGGAACTCAACGTTCCAAAAAAAGATGTCGACCGGTATCGTAGATATCACTGACGGTTTTAATTTGGCGTATTTATGGTAATACACGGCGATAACGTAGGTTAGAATGGCATTAGGGAGCCTCCACGTTGTTTTCTGAATTTCCCCAACTGTTGAATCTTCCGCTCTCGTAAGGGTATGATATTCAAGTGACTTGATCAGATTTGGCAACTCTGTTTCCGTTGTGCATCCTCTTCCTTGCAGCAACTGCAATAAGACTTACGATTATTACCATTTTTTGCATAAACTGCAAACAATACCTGCTGTGAAGTGCGCTTCTTTTTACATTAAATAAAAAATTCTAATTTTGTGCCGGCTGCTCGACTGACACAATTCGATGCTACAGAGTACGTACGCATTAAAGAGAAATAACAGCCACAAATGATGTAGGCACCACAGTGACCACACAACGTCGAGATTCTATTGCAATAACTTACGTCTGGGTTGCGAAGGACTTTCTCCATGATTCTGTAGTACACAACCAGCCAGTGAGGATAGCAGTCAGGTTTTGTGAGCCCCGGAATTCCCTTGCTTTCTTCTTCAACGGCCTTGAGGATGAAAGTCGGCAGTGCTTCCAGGTCGGCCAGTAAGCGCAGTTGTTCGCTGGTATTTATGCGCGAACTAAGAGAAATGGAAGTAATTATTTGCTAGCATTTAAGTGATGATGAAGAGATCTTTTTACTTTGCTCCTCCATTGATATGGGCGAAAAGTTCCTGTCGGGCTTTAACGTAAAATGGCTTCTCCAGTGTAAAATAATGGTTATCCTTGGCGAGCACCGAATTAACCCTTTTAGACGATATTGGTTGGTTACCAATAACCAAGTATCCAAGCTCCGCGAGACGTGAACAAAGTGCCTCCGATGTCTCATCGTTTCCGAGGTTGAAATCGATCTCCACATCCTGGTTCTGTTGGGGATTTTGAGTGGGTATGCCAGTACTCTTGCCAGTACTCGGATCATACTTTTTGAGAACGTTACCCACTGGCGACAATTTGCTGAGTGTTGCTTGGTTTCCGCTAAAAGGGCACCCGCGAAAGTCTTTACTCTCGAAATCTCGGGAAACCTCCTTAAAGCCACCCAGTATGAGGAGTAAGGTCAAGTTGAAAATGTCCACATCTTCGTAGCACTTTAGCATGAGTGCGTCAATAAAACTTGGCGCCGTGCATGTCTCGGTAACTCTGGGTTTTTGAGCACAGGTTGGATCGTTTTGGTCCCAGGAAATCAAACCAATGGCTTTGTGATCTAGAGTAATAAGAGTGTGAGACAAATAATTCATTCGTGTGCAGTATGGTAAAAGCCAAAAATTCCACTCTTTGCGGCGCGTGCTTTTATTTCATACACAGGTATCTCAACAGCAGTATTAAATTTTGAAACTAATGCTTACGAATGCATGTGAGAATCTCTTCTGGCAATGTCTGATTGCGAAACTCTTTCAGGTACTCCGTAATGGCTGCCGTCACCAGCACGGCATTGACATGCCGGTAGAAATGTTTGGGCAACATCGGCCAAATCAGTTCGGCTTCCGCATCTGATTTCTTCCATTTTTCTGACTGTTTTTTGGGTAGTTCGCTGGCATCCACCACGACACAAATCCGGCTGTCTTGAAGGTTGACAGCACGTAGATGGCTAGGATCTGCTGGATTTCCCTAACACATAATATATTGATGACTCAGTTCTACAAATGCACTGGAAGCGCATATACAATGATTTTCGTTACTTGAACGAGAAGGATATCGGGAAATTCCTTTAAGGTGGGCCATTCTTTGGCTAAACAATCGCGTTCGGCCAGAATAACGACTACCGGCGGGTTGATATGAACGGCTCGCAGCGGCTTAACGAAGTTGACCAGTCCAATGGGGGCGGGGTCTCGGTCGGAGACAACGCAAATAACGATATGCTGCTCCAGCTTGGACGGCAGCGCGTTTTCGAGTTCGTGCGGCAGCTGAGTAAGCATGATGAGCGCACCAGCGATATGATTATTCTTTTATACTTATTTTCCTATATTTACCGTATTTTAGCAAATGACTTACCTTAACCGAAGTTTCGGCTTTGGCTAGCTGGTAGCGCCAGTACTGTCCAGTGCTGTCACAAGCAATATTTTGGGCGCCGCATTCTTCCACACTATAAATAATATCATATTATCACCGTGTCAGAAATAGTTGCTACAGTAGGACCATTTTGTCCTTATGCTGTTTGAAAATTTACTTTTACTAGTAGAATTCGTTGCAACTCTTAAAAACTTGTATACCATTCAGTATCCGTGCTCAAGGCAATTCGAATCCGTCTTCTAGCATCTCTGTCATCTTGTACGGGATTATTGGGTTGGACTATTGCGTTCTGTCCGGCACGTGCTAACGAAGCTTTTCCATTTTGCATCATTGCCCACCTGCGCGCAGTACTATTCAGCTCGCTGTTCGATGCATTGGTAATGAGGAAACATTTGGCGCCCGGTTGCAGAAAAAGATGCTTCTGAGGATACAGATGATATTCACCGTCTTGTAGTACGGCAAACAATGTGCCCTGGCGTTCAAACGTCCGCTACGATAAACAAAATCAAGTCATCTCTGACAACTGCACCGGCAACGATTAACCAAAAATGCAGGAAAACACAGTACGCCGTTACCCGTGCATCAGCATAGGTCAAGTTTCCGGTAATAGTACGACCAGGCGCCGCCGTCGCATTCAACGGTGCAAGGGCCGGTTCAGCAGGTGCGATCACAATTAATGCCACCTCTTCACGGGGTTGCGCCGCAATTGGGCTTCCACGTCTTCTGTTGTTGCGTGCAGAATTAGACTCCACGTTAACAACTGACTCTGCTTGATTGACAGCCGGTGCCGTTGAAGTGGAAGATCCGGCGCGCATGTCATTATTGGGTGTGTTCGCAGGGGCTGCAACTGCCGTTGGTACCGGCAAGGTAACTGCTTTCACAGTGGGACCTTTCTCTTCGCCAAACCACTGATTGATCAGCTGAGGAAACCCGGGTGCAAAGTAGCGCTGCGCCAAAAGGGCAAACTGGAATTCTGCTGTGCAGATTATTTGATCGGCCTGCTGCTTGGTCGCTGGATCGCTTTTGTCGCGCCAAAATGGAATATGGTAAAATTTTTCCTGAGGAAAGCTTTAATTTGCACTTAGCCAGTTTTCGTATTCGTGAATAACTAAAAACTGCCTTACAATCTACGTTAATGTTGTAGATATTGAATCGTAGCAGATTCTTTCTCGTTGTAGAAATATCAGTTTTACCTTGTTTTCAAACATAAGAATTTTGACAATCACCCTCGTGTTGCGGTGGCGTTGCTTCATTTTATTGACCCGCAGGAAATTGCAGTGGTCTTCTTCGGCAAAATTAGACGCGTTTTCGTTGGCGAAAAACAGGGCACACTGACAATTATCGAAAACTTGATTCTTTAGATCATCGTTCTCAAAAAGCGAACCGGAAATAACGCTCAGTCTGTCTTTGTGCTTTCCAGCTACCGTGTGCATTTCTTCGACGGCAGCATCGTTAGTGGTGGGACTATAAAAAACGTCCTTTAGAAGTTTTTGTAGGCAAACTCCACAAGTACAGGTATCACTTACTCCACAAGTACAACGATTTTTTCTTTAGGATTGGTCGAACGAAACCTCTCCGCAAACTTCTCCACAGCGTCAGAGTTGACCGAACCAAGCAGTAAAATAAACCTGAAAGGTCAATTTGTACGTAACTTTATACAACAGGCGGAAACCGAAAGCCCTTTACTTGGTGTCCTTTCTGGTATAAACTGCGCTGAAAGAATGTATGCGCAATATTTTCGGCAGTTGCTTGAACATTTCCGGTATAATTTGTGCCAAGAAAATCTGCAAGGTTTTTTTGCGTATGGATGGCATTTCAAAGCACAGCTTTATTTACATGATCATGCGGAAAACGTCAGCCTACGCACCAGAGTAACCGCCTGGGCAACGTAAACCGAAATTCTGCCTATTGTGGTTTCCAGCTGCCCTGATGTTAAATCTAGGAACACAAGCTTGCCGTATAGAAACGCCACTAGTTTTCCGTACGTTAGATCTTTCGGCGTTGTGTAGGTTGATAACCAAGGATCACCCAGTGTTTCCACCTGCGAAAACATTAATGCAGCGAGGAAGGTTATACCCGCCCAAATGGGAAAACGGTTTGAAAAACCATACCAGTTGGACCCAGGCAGTTAGGCTTAGAAACGAGCATACAATCCAGGTTATTCGGCGCATGACCGTGCCTGCGGCGATTGGTAGTTTCCGGAAGATGCGAATGATCTCGTCGCATAACCAGGTAAAACAAAAAATTCGTAAAAACTGTAGACCTAGAACCATAATATTGTATTAGTTTTTCCCAGAACTTGATAACCGAATTGTCAACATACTGGTCGCTGTAACGTTCCAGTACGACAGCGGTTCGATGGGCCAGCGAGCAATAATGATTATTTCGTAATATAAGAGCGGTATATTGGCGACACTAGCGAAGCATTCCCAGTCGCGAATGGCGCTCCATATTCGTTCTGCGAGGCATGTCGGTTCTTTGCAACAACCTTCTTCCTTTTTTCCATTTTCGTGACTTTCTACGGCAGTGGTGGAAGTAATTCCGCACGGTCTGTAATTCACCTACAAACGTATAATTCGGACCCAATTCATTGCAGTTTTGTCACAGTTAGAACAGAACTGAGGTTCTTGTGCTCACTAGGTTTAAGAACAGCAGCAGCAAAAGCGCAGCGTTAATTGAGACATCATCTTCAATCCAGAATCTAGTGCCGGGCAGCGTTTTGTAGTACCATCCCTGAGACAGTTTCCTTTAAAAAGCAGTAGGTAGTTAGTTAATCCAAGTAGGCAAAATTATTTATCAAATATTAAGCATGTAGCAAAATTTAGAAGCTATCTTACACAAAGTCACTTCCGAAATATGGTTGGAAAAAGTTGAAGTAGAGCGAGGTGAAACTCAGCACGAAAACAGCCAGTCCTCGCCAGTCAATTTGCTTGAGTGTTGTCCGCAGGAAAGATCCGATGCTGTTGAGTAATGCCATGCACCCATACCGACACACCAGCGAGACCAAACACTGACCGATGCCGATTACGAACAAAGCCACAAATATTCCAACCGAGGCGGTGTACGAGGTCCATGGCAAACAGGATAGCGCATTGACTCTACCGCAACACCGATATCATTGCAACTGTTTTGTGGAAAACTGCTATCTGCACGATTTTTTTTATGAGATTCTGATTTGTTGTGTGCGCAGTTTTTTCTGCCGCCACTAGCCAACTTACGCCGATGCGTTTTCCGGTTGAACCAGACGGCAGAGTCCATACGTTGCAAGCTGACTGAAAGCAGCGATAGGAGGAGATACACTAGCTGCAACGGAGGCATTGGCCGCGTAGGACTGATTTGCCAATGGCAGCGATCCATTCATTTTATTCGAGTTCGGATGTTGCACGTTTCAGTCCACTTGAAAATTAGCATCTGTTGCAATGATTGCAGTTTATATCAGCGGAATCTGCTCAGTTTTCCAAATTTACCCGCCACAGTCGTTTTCAGACGCTCTGATCGGCTGCTAACAAACAGTTAAAAACCAATCTTCCTTTTTTTAAAAAAAAACGCATTCAGTACGAAGCTTTTCCGGGAACTTTTACTTGCGGCATGCACAGAAATATGGAAAGATAAGTGTTCATTCCGCATCACCTGTACAAAGCGTACTTATCAAATTGCCATTGTTGACATAGTCCTGCGGTAAACAGTAAAAGCGATAACGGCTTCGTGCCGTTCTTTGTGCAAACTAACCCGCAGACCTTGAAATGTGTAATTAGCCGTGAGAACTACCAGTGTCGGAATTATTCCTAGGCCAACTTGTTACAATGCCGGTGTGTACGCACTAAGCATTTGCTATTCACACGCTTTGGCCTGCAGGAAGTTGTTCTAAACCGGAAACCGATACTTGCAATCTTTTTCTGCGATCAGCTTAACAGCGAAGTCGATAACTAACGGAATGCGTGTGTGCATAGTGTAGATAACACTGCACCGGTACTTTCTGCATTACAATGCGCTGCATGAAACACGTTCTAAAAATCAGTATACGGTACAGTAATGCATTTGATACTCGAACTAATGGTATCAGTAATGCATTTGATACTTCGTCGAACGTAACGCGGAATGAGCTGTATGTACTGCAAACGTATGGTTTTGAACCTTTTTGAACTGCTCAGTAATATCCAACTATGCTACAAAATAAAAGCTTTTTATGGCTGTTAAAATTATTACTCTTGTTGTTCACATGTAACTGTCTGTTAACGATGGCATGCATTGTGTTGGTATAAAAACAAGGTGAAATTTATCAGAGCGAGCAATGGCCGAAATTTATGCTGGAGATTTCCAGCACAAGCGTAGCATGGGAAGCTCCATTACGTATCAAGTCGCGCTTTTTAAAGATGAAGGGCCAAGTAGCCCAACGAGAGCCGGTGAGGATGACATTCCGTTATGTGGAAAGCCAGCGGATGCGTACTTCGAAGTTTCCGGGTTTGGAAGATTTGCGAAAATGACACCGTTGCCCACCACAGCCGAACTCACGATAGTACCATCGCTGCGGGCCGATGCAAAAAACGAAATGGACGAATTAAGAAAGCTGCTGAAACCATTGGTGAATGCATCGATGGACGAAAACAAATATGTCCAGAAGTATTACGGCGTTAGTTGCAAATGGGGGACGTCGGGACTACCTAGTGCATGCTACATTTTGACAGAGTGGTGCGAAGGTAAACTGATTCGAAACAGAAACACAACACATATTTGGTCGATAGTATAGTTTGGAATGCCTAGTTGCTTACCCTAACTGTTTCTCTGTGAAACGGTACTGCTCGTGCAAACGCATTAGATATGCACGCTGCCTGTGAGTTCTCTTCCCGTGCACGAACTCTGTAGTGCAGCTTGTGCGATGCTAAAACAGTACGTTGTTAATGCATGGTAAGCACGATTCCCCAAAATAACATAGACCGTTCGTATGTGCATTTGCAGGCACACATGTTGCGCGCCGGTTGTTGCACACTGCGGTTTTAATTATGGGTTACTGTATCCGGTATTTAAATAACCTCAACTGGTAAAAGCTGAAAACCGTTCTCTTCAAGGAGACCGCTACTCGTAGGTTTGCCCTTGGACGAAGTTATGGTGAAGTTAGGTCAAAGGCCTACAGACTACGCTATTGTACGATGCGCAGCACAGGTACTGGAGGGTCTGCAATTTCTTCACGACAACCAGATAATTCATCAGGATATCAAAGGAGCCAACATTATCGTATCATCCAGCGGCAAAACTTTGAAGATCACCGGCCTGACCAGAGCCAAGCACTTTACAGGGTCCTGCACACCTCCACGATATATCGAAAGCGCAACCGGCACGGTACCGTTTGCCTCACCGGAAATGGTAGCACTTTCGGTCTCCACGTCGAACCACGCAACACACGTCGGCCGAAAGACCGATATCTGGAGTCTAGGTTGTGTTATGGTACAAATGTTGAATCAAGGCCAACCTCCTCGTTTAACTGATGGCGACTACGAAAGAAAGGACGCAAAGTCTCCACATCCATCGAATTTTAAAGAAATTCATCGTCTCTTTCTGATGGGATGCCGACCACACTTTACACTGAAAAATGACAGCATACTTAAGCCAATTCTTGGTGGATGTCTAGCTATGGATCCGGATAGACGACTGCTTACTCGACAGTTAATCAGCCTTATTCATGATTTGTACTATTTTCTCTTTTGCAAAATTACACCTGTTCGACAGCAGACTGAAATGCAGAGGTTTAGAGTGGAACGCTACAACCTTCTGCGGATACCCGAAGAACCAACTCCAGCGGAACCTGCAGAGCCGAATAGCCTAATACCAAGGTTTTTTGGAAATGACGACAATGTCGATGAACGGCTTAAAAATATGACGCTTCCTGAAATGGTCACAAAGAGCGTCCAACCCGATTGGGTTTCGATTATATCGCCGGTTAGGGACGATGATGCTCAGCAACAAACATTACTGGAAAACAAGCACAAGGTGTTTGAGCTGCTTATCAAATTTGCGTCGCAGACAAAATATATTATACACCACTATGCGGTAAAACCGGAGAATCCAACAACCGAACTGCGAGTCTTCACAGTAGTTGAAGGTAAGCCGGTTGTCTGGAGACTGGAGTGATAAATATAATTAGAAAATCTCCATTGTACGACAGTACAGAGTATAATGGAGATTTCGCAGGCCGTTGGGCTCTGCGAAAGTAAAAAAATCGTAAGGTATCGCGGTTGTGAAAACCTCAGGGAGTATTGCAGGCAGCTTGCGGCAATAAAATTATACCTTTGAATACCGTAATTCGTGCGATTCGCGCGCATTTCCTTTATGATGGCTTGCACTCCTATAGAAAGCGCTTCCACTCTCAGTTAATGGTTTTTATTTTACCAAAGAATCCAGCTTAAAATTTTAAACGTAGAAAATCTGAGACTTCCGGCGTTCGTAACGATAAACAACCGCCCGGTGAAGCAGCTCGACGCGGTTTTTTCTAGCAAACTTTCCAGAATTCCCATTCTTTCTGATTTTCTTTTCTTTACGAAAAGAAGTTTTCCTGCACTACGTTCGTCAAACATATCAAAATAATATTAAAGATTTTATGTGTACACAAATGTCGTTGTTTGGAAGCAAACTGATGCGAAATCAGCTGATCTGCTTTCGCGCTAACAGGAATTTAATATACAACGTAAATCAAACGGAAAAAAGCGCGAGTGTTAACAAATAATAAGTCGATAAGTATAGCTCAGCGGGTAAAGCATTACATACCCTGATTTTGGTTGCAGACACCTACATGCTTTTATCTACCAGGATCACGCTGCGCATATTTCAACGTGAAATGATTTCTGGTTTCACTGGTCAGATACTAGAAGGGCTTGCGTTCCTACACCAAAACGGGATTATTCACAAAGATATCCGCTGCTGCAACATCTACGTGGACAGAGATATCGTGAAAATTGCTCATTTTGAGAAAGCAGCGTTCCACCACAAGGACTCAATGTTGGGCACGTCCATAACGTATCCGGAAGGCTCGTCACAATTTGCTTCGAAGGAAATGCAGGAGCTTCTGGCTTTTGATGGCAGTAGGAGGGCAGGTCCGGTGGGACCGGCTACGGATGTGTTCAGTTTGGGTTGCACGGTGCTGGAAATGTATGCACGAAAGGCACCGGCATGGGTGTATGATAATGCGGATAAAACATCGGAAAAGTATAAGTTTCTGTCAGGCGACCGCACGGAAGGAGAGTTTGTTCGGCATCTTTATGAACTGTGGCAGCGCCAGGCCATGCCGGATGTCAGCGGTATTATACCAGAAGCAGCCGAGAAAGCACGAGACTTTGTTCATGCATGTTTCATGCCATCTAGCGATCGATCACCATGTGACCTGTTAAAGTTGCACCCGTTCATCCGTCCTCCGTTGCCAAGCCAATGGATATCGTAATTATTTTGGCTGTTTTGTATATGTATCATATCGGCCTTAACTTTCCTTGAAACCGATAGCATTCGAGACGGTTAACCTGCCCTTCATTTTACGATGAACGATGGTGCCTCCCGATTCCATTTGCCAATAATGTCAATTGCCAGTTTGTGTCCACGACTCTTCATGACGGCGGCATAATACGTTAAGCATAATGATTACCCTATTTACAGAGTACCATCCATTTTCAGTTGAATTAATTTGTTTTCCCGCTACATACCGCGGTAATAGCGACTGTTTTTCAGTGTGCGCAGGGTTTTTTAACACTAGAGCCGTTACAGGGTTCGCTTGACCTACCCTATGAATATAAAAATTTGCTTTGTGCTGATGCACAACTTCGTGTCTGCTTCGGTTGCCACGGTAGTATGCCGTCATACTGAGCTCGCATTTCAATGACAAAGCTGTGCAATAATGCGCACTGATGCTTTTATACTGTATGAGGTTTCTTCATCTCTGTTGCTTACGTAGATATTTCTGCTTTCCGACAACATTTCACTGACAGATTATGATGATAGACGACATTGTGCAATAAACTAGAAAATGCCACAGGCAATCACACTGGTAACGAAAGCTGTCAGCACTGGCATACCGTAATTGGCGTTGTGCAAATGAAGTGAGCAATGCAGGCGCCATAATCAAGAGTAATTCCCCCAGTACTCCGCAGTTTCAACAGGAAGTGGTTCACCACCGCGATTTGCGAGATACTCGGCGGTATCCGGTTCGCTTGTCCCAAGGCATCCGGTTTGTAAGTTGTGAAGAAGCTCAGTAACGCCCGGCCGTTTATCCGAATCGAACTGCAGACAGGTTTTAATAAAATCCTGGACATTCGACGGTATCCAGGCATGAATCAGAGGCAGTTTCTTGACGGCGCTGTTAAGATGATAGAGAATCGCCATTTCCAGTATCATGGGCAGATTTTTTGCGCCTGTATACAGCGGTGGAGCGCCGGTAGCTAGCTGCAATACCACACACCCCACACTCCAAATATCACACTTCCTACCCACGTGGAGGTCCTCTTTATCAGAACTAACCATTTCCGGTGCTGCAAATCGTGCATCCTGTCCTTGCCGGGCACTTACTTCGTGTTTTGCAGTAATATCCGCTTCCAGTTGCCGCATATATTGGAAGCCGCCGATTTTAATGGCTCCTTTAAATCCGGCTTCGCTAAAGAAGATGACACCCCCGCTAATGTTGCGATGTGCGATGCGGTGCGCATGAAGATACCCAAGTCCTTGAAGCAATTCGTGTACGAATTTGGCGAGGATATGAAGAGTCAGTTTATAGGCAGCCACGGCCTTGAAAGTGCCTCCTACGAATCGCATGTCATTCCTTAGTTTGACTAACATTCGGGTAAAATATTAATCATCCCAACCGATCAGCCCATAAGGAAAATTTAATATTTAACAGCATCAAGGCTGCGTAAGCACTACCGTTGACAATATTATTAGCAACGGTAGAGCATCGTGATATATGTATCCGTACATTGGAAAACTAGGCACCTCCGTTTAACAGTTTTCGGTAACTGCCGTACCTGGACAATGCTCTGTATAAACCTTCAATTCCATCGGCAACTTCTCGCATTGTGGCAATACAATTTCACATCCAAAATGCTTGACAATGTTTTTGTTCCCTTCTTGCAGTGCGCGTATTTTGTAAACCGCTGCCCATTTCCGTGTTTGCTCATGTGTACTGCCATCCATAGACTGGGCATCAATCAGCTTACCAAAGGCTTTTATCCACAAATCATGCTCCGTCTTCATGGCTTTCGGCTCCGTGCTTCGTGTATTAAAGCACCAGATATCTACAGGTTTCACCTCGCGGTGAGGGCCATCGCGGTATTGCATGTCGCCTAGTTGATGGAGTAAATGCAAATCATCGCTCTGCAGAAACGGATGCTTGCGCGTATTCGTTACGATAATCGACTCGTTAAAGGACAATGTCTGGGGGTAATACGTTGCATCGATGTTAGACAACTCCGCTAATGAAATATCAAGATTGAGAAAGGGATGCTCGCTGAGTCGTTCTAAACTCCAGCGCTTTGCTGGATCCAGCTCCAGGCAGCGGCCCAAAAAGTCCTCACATGCGCAAGGAATTATTCCCACCAGATCCATTTCCGGACCAACAACGAGCCCCTTTTCCTTACCTGCATCTTTATATAACGCCTGCAGTTCCGGCAATAGTGATTTTTTCAGTTTCAAGTACTGGGCACCGCGCTTGAACCGCCAGTCCCGCAGTAGTATCAGGGGCTGACCAAAGTTGATCAGCTGAATGGCCAAGCAGCCGAGCGCCCACACATCGGCTTTACTGGTGTCGCCGGCTGATGCTGGTAAGGCTGCAACGCCTTCCGGTGGGATGTAAGCTACATTGGATGATCCGCCGTCGGTCCATGTCATCCACAGAGCTAGCGGGGTCTTCGCTTCGCCGAGAGTAGCTGTTAAATTCGTGGAAAAGCTGACATTGTCCCAGAAGACTCCTCCGTGGCATGGCGACTTTTCTTTGACAACTTTCAGTACACTGCAAAGCTGCTGCCGGGTGGTTTGCAGCGGGTCCTCTGCAACCAAATAATTTTCTGAACGGTTGGGCAAAATTCAGAGAAACTTATTCAGGTACCTCCTTTTTGACCATAAGTACGTCTGACTGATGCAATAAGAGCTAAAGATAATTGAGAGAATACATAAATTACTAATGTATAACTTCAACCTCCAGTTTGCAAATGCTACAGAATAATATTACGGAGACGATGCGTTAACACCACCCTGTATCGCTAATCGATACATTCAGAACAAGATTTGTGGCTGTTCTAAATCGATGACGAAACATATGCGCGCAATAAAAAGGTACTGAGGTAAGGTAAATCACCTTCTGTCATCGTGATTCACCGCTTAATGATTCCAACAGGATGTCAACATACTGGGAAGCGAGATCAAGAAGCAGTGATAATTTGCAGTCTGTTACCCGCTGCAGCTGACGGCAGAAACCGGTAGTTCTATCAGTGGAACATGAAAACAGCCAGCAAAACAGCCTGCCAGTGTGTTTCAGCTTTCTGTTTATAATACCGTACTATCGTCCGTCGTTGTTGCAGTACGGTCCGTAGTAGGCGGTGTGAGTTCTGTTTCGTTATCGTCTTATCGATGGTAAATAAAGAATGTTTACTAAAACTATTATTCTGGAATAATGATTGTGGCGTTGTTGGCTGTACGTATAATCGTGAACAAGTACAGTAAAGCGCCGCAGTTTCCGGTTAATGTACAACTGTTTGCTTGCTGTTAAGCTTATTTAATTACTGTGCTTCGTACCTCTTTCTCGCTGAATCGCTCCGGGCTTAAGCACTGCATTCTACATATTTTGCGTGCTGAGATCAGAGGTTGTGATAATGTAACTTTGTGTACCCGTTCAACAAGTTGTGCATGTTACTCGTCCCTAAGTTAACACACTCAAGAATTTGTTGCACCTATAATGCATTACCCGTACAAATATTGCGAACGGAACAAGTGTTATTCATGAACTGCACATGCACTTCCGCGTAAAATTTACTGCGTAGTAATTAGCTTGTACTGCATATCTTGTGATTTGACTGATTTCCTATAGCGATAAATGCTAGTCATGAGATGGGTTGGTAGCTGACACATAATGTTAACATATATCGGTTTCCACGCATCCCTTTTGTACGGTAATCATTAATTTTGTGAATAAGTATTTGTGCGAGTGTACGATAGTATGCAATAATGCAACTCGTTTTTTGATTGCATAGTTCTGGCTAAAAACGATACTGAATTCGAATGAAAAACGCAAAGAAGAAATTTCCTTATTAATGAGAAAATTATAAATGTTAAGTTGACTCTTCATTCTTTAGGAACGCCATGGACGATATATATCTTGGATTTGCTTGAATGTATGGACTATTTCTCCCAAATGGCATCATATAATACTGGATAACGCCTACCGATAGGCGATCGCCATAATATAATTTTTTATAAAAGCCTTTTCTAAAGTGAGAACACCGAAAAGAATGGACAATAAAGCAGAAGGCGCCTGCGGTTCCTGGGGAATTATGCTAAGCAGGACAGAGCACCAGATTTTGGTGCTCAACCGTTATAACATGCAAAAATCTTTGCCGAGGGAAAGATGTGCGGCTGACATTCCTCTTCACGAGTGTTCTGGCAACAGAAGTATAGCGTTGGAGGACCCAACAGAGAAGCAGGATAGCCTGAAAACGTTGGAAGGCAAACTCGTTCATTTGGACAGATTCGAAGGAGCTGAAACCGCCTCTGCCTGCATTGTTTCAACGTTTAATAGAGAACGGTCCGAAATGATTAAGGACAAGCAGAATGTAGCCGAGAAACTGGCCCAGATCGCTTCGGAGACAAAGCATGTCCTCAAGCATCTTAAACCGGTTTACTTAAAGCCAATTACGGAGTTGATCATTCTTACCGAAAGCGAAAGTAAGCTGGAGATTTATTGTGGAAACATTCTTTATGAATTGAAATAGAAGAGGATTACCTGTACAAGAAAACTGTTTTATAGGTGACTTTCAGCCGTTAGCCGCGCTAATAACTACCAGAGAGTTCCGTGTAACGTTGGTACCGGAATTCACAAAGCAGATATTAAGCGGTCTGTGCGAGATACACAAACACGGTATCGTGCATAAGGATATCCGGTGTTCAAATATCCTCGTGCAAAAACACCGCACAGGAGGAACTATAACATTTAAACTGAAAATTGCCCACTTTGAAAAGGCATCACATTGTACTCGGGAATCAGACCACAACATAATATATCCCGAAGGATCGTCGCAGTTTGCTTCACCGGAAATGCAGCAGTTGGTGTTTGGTGCGGACAAGTCGACAGTCAGAGTGGACACAGCGACGGATATATTCAGTCTCGGCTGCACCATCATTGAGATGGTAGAACGCCGTCCACCGCGCTGGGTATACGAGCAGGCCGGACAGATGATGCAGTATAATTTCAGGGTTGAACGTACTTTGACGGATTTCCTTGTTAATCTGGGCACGTTACTGAGATGTGAAGCCCAACCGGATGCCAGTTTTTTGGAGCAATTTCCCAGCGCCTCTGATTTTGTTGCGGCATGCCTAATGCGATTGCCGGCTAACAGGCACACATGCAAACAACTGGAAGAACATACACTGATTACGGGACTGCAAATGTGATTTACTTTACGCTACTGTCGGTAAATTCCATTTGCAACCAAACACACCGCTTCCAAAAAGAAACCAATCTGTGAAATATTTGAGAAAACCGGACGCCTCTTCGATGTTTTACACGCCACTGTATCATCTGGCACCAAATCGCTGGCTGACAGTGACTGATACTTTAACGTCAGCAGATATAAATTTATCGTTTCATTCAAAGAACTAGGAATATCTTTTTTAGACTGCTGTACTGAATATCTCCTGCTTAGCGCACACAGATTCATTCAGCGTCAGTAAACAAAGAGTTCTAATTGTTATTCATAGCAGTTCCACTGTTAATTACAAACCCATCAGGGGGTAGCTTTGATAAAAACGTGCATAGTTATTGAAAGCTGATCATGGCTTTTTTTATCATAAATTTATGGATGTTTTTTCGTTTTTACGTACGCCAGTCGCGTATATGGTCAGTTATATACTATACGTACGTCCAATAAAACTAGCCTGTCAATTTGAAGGTTTCTCGTGCAGTGGCACCATGCATAGACGTATGTCATAACTAGGAAAGTGCACCGCTCCGATTCTCTCGAAGTGTCGCTTTCTTTTTTTCCTTTCACTAATTCGTTTACGTACTTCCTGGCAGCGTACGTACTTAATTAGTTACTTACGTACTTCCGAAATACTGACAATGTTACAGCAAGCTGTTAAGAAGACTTGATAAGTTGTATGCTTTAATATTTTGACCCCTTTGATGTCTGTTTGCTGACGTATCAAACAATCAACGTCGTTTGGACTGCAGGTTTGCATGGGAGCCAATCTGGCTCGGGATTACCCAGGCGGAACTTTAGTGCCAGCCGTCCATCCGACTACTTCAGTCGATTTCGTATGTCAAGAAAAAGGGGATTCCTACTGCTGTGGTCTATATGAATGCACCGCTACTCGTATTAACAAACAAGTTTTCTTGTCCGCTGATTTATGACAATAAGCCTATCGTACAGTAACTTAATGCAACTTCCTGCTTCGTTTGTGTCCTCAATGCACGTGCAAAACCCCCATGCACGTTGTATTAACGATAAGTAATTTTGTGTTTCATCAGTTTTGCTCTTAAGCAACTCGGTCTGGACTTTGTGCCAGCTGTATGTTTTGCAAAATATAGCACACACGTTTGACACAAATTATACATAATAATTAGTTACAGGAAGCACTGACTTGCACATAAACTGCAGTATCAAATTGCATATAACTGGATGCATAAACAAAACATTTATGTAATTATGTTTTGCGACAGGGTTGTTAGAACGTTGAATCATTCTGTTATTACATTCTGTTATTATCTTTGGAAAGTAACGTGTACTACCCGAGTAGTAAATTTTAAGCGGTCCGATCACGTCTTATCATTCTGTAGACCATAACCTGTTGCATATTATGGTGAGTTCTACAGAAACCAGTTCTGCTGTTATAGCCGCTTGCGAGCAGTTTTTATTCGCCAAACAAAAACCACTGTCATGCAGTTATGAAGCGATCATTCGGAAATTTCTCGGAAGGAACAAATTTGCGAAAGCGCGACCGACCAAAAGACAAAACAAATAACAAGGACCCGGTAACTGCCGTTGGTATCAAAAGATCAGCCTTATTGACGTGTTTAGTCTGGGCTGCACTATTATCGAAATGTAAACGGGAGTGCCACCTGTTTGGGAATAGGGAAATAAGCAAGAGCACGAGTACCGTTTTGGAAGGACCCATCAGTGTTACGTACCATGAGGAAGCTGCATACGATGACCGAATAATGACATAATACTGATATCATTAAATTTTAGTTATGTAAACTGTCAATATGCAATACGCTATTTCAATGATTGATGTGTGTGTATCTTTTATGCTAAGTGCTGCTTAATGGTTTCTCAATAAGCTCTTAATGGGATGAGTGTACTGGCTGATGTCATAGATAGATCAGCGTCCTAATGTCGTTTTAGTATTTAAGGCTTTTTGCCTGCAGTGAAGAAGTTAGTATGTTGGATTTTCAAGTCTGGATCACTCTCCTAGTTCCGCTGTATACAGACTCCCGGAAGTGCCCATTAAAATGTAGTTGACCTTTCATGTCATGTTGCTTATGCTTACATTGCGCTACCTCCGGTATCATGCAACCCAACACATTTTCAAGCGTAAGATCAGATAGGTGAAACGGAATTCATTAACCACCTGTATAAGCTGAAGCAGTTTAAGGCCATGCCCAGGGTCACCGGCATTCCGGCATTCCGGAAATCCCAGACGCCGCGCAGCAGTTTGTACAGAAATGCTTGGCTCCAGCGGACCAGAGACTACCTGGACAGCGATTGCAGGTGCGCCCGTTCGTCTCCAGTATGGTGCAGAGAGTGCAGCTATCTTACGCTTCAAGTATTTACTCGTAGTTGCCCAGCAGTCAAGGTTCTGGCCTCTATTCTGCGAACTGGAGTAAATTGAATGCCACAATGGGTTTTCTGTCAACGCTGTAATTAAACGATGCACAATTTCTGTGTCTTAAACAGCAGCCTGTCTAATTATGACTATGTATAACTTCTCATTTTGTAGTCGAGCACGGAATTTTGTGAGAATGATTTTGTAAATCGCCCGATTTCGTTTCTTCTCGATACCGGAATATGTTACCTCCATTAACCGGCATCTTGATTGTCTTACGGTGTTTTTTATCGGCTGGTCTGTCCCCCATTGATCAGTTACAGGAAACATTGCATTAAACATAAATCATAGTGGTTAATTAAAATTTGTTGCGTGTATGAAAATATATGTTATTTTACAAGTATGTTTTGCGGCATCGTGTTCAGATGCTAAATCATTCTGTTATTGCAGGCCGTTGTCTCGGTTAAAAAAATACGTGCTACGGCCCGTGCAGTTAGGATTTGCGACAAAAGGCGGCGTTGAAGCAGCAGTCCACGGTGCACGGTATTTTATCGAGCACGCTCTTCAAATGGAATCCCCACAAGTCTTTCTAAAGCTGGATGTGAAAAACGCATTTAACTCCCTCGATCGAAATTGCATTTTAAAAGCTGCGGAAGAACATATGCCGGCGTATTACCACTTCGTGTGGCAGTGCTATGGAACCCCATCAGTGTTGTTGCACGGATCCCACCAAATCCTTTCCAGGGCGGGCATCCAGCAAGGAGACCCGCTCGGCCCGCTACTGTACTGCCTGTCTACGGTAAAACCACACAAGAATCTGAAGTCTGGTTGAAATCCAGTTTCCTTGATGATGATGTACTCGGTGGCGACCCGGACGATGTTTTTGATGATTTGTGTTCGCTAAAGGATGCATTGCGGGACTGTGCACTGCTGCTGAACATCAGTAAATGCGAACTAATCGTTCTGGGAGGTTCGGAAGAAGACAAAGAAAAGGTGACAGCTGCATTCCTTGATGTGTTTCCTGATCTACAGTGTCCCAAATTACACGAGCTACTCTATCTGGGCGCACCGCTACACGACGATGCTACGGCGGGAGCTATTGTTAATGCGACAGAGGTTGCAGAAAAAATGACGCAACGCTTGCTAATGATACCAGCACACCAGGCGTTGTACCTCTTAAGATGCAGCATAGGACCAGTCAGGGTGACGTGTAAACTACGTACGGGTGGATGCTACATGCATAGCGGCCTTTTGCAAGCATTCGACGCGGTAATCCGGGAAAGCCTTTGCACGATTACAAACGTTGCCATCACGGACCAAATGTGGACGCAGGCATCCCTGCCGATCTCCGAGGGCGGTCTTGGAATTCACAGCATTGAGAAGCTAGCCCTTCCGGCCTTTTTGGCCTCGGCTTACTCAATCGCGACGCTGGCATCCGAGACTGCGGACTTTCACCCTGATGAGTACTGCAGCGCGGCAGTAGAGCAATGGCAGGCAATTACAAAAAGGGATGCGCCGGATGTCAATATTCGCAACCTACAGAAAGTGGGATGAACCTCTAATCGCGGAAGCTGTGGAAATGTTGCGGGTTGAAGCCCAGGATGACCTATCCAGTCAAGCTCGGCTGCGCGGCGTGAGAACAAAAGAGAATGGGGCTTGGCTAGAGGCGTTACCGGCAGCATCATTTGGAAACCTGCTGACAGATTCTGCCCTGAGAATCGCTGTTGGGCTACGCCTTGGAGCTGCTATCATCACTCCGCACCGTTGCATCTGCGGGGACTGGGTGGACGCCCGAGGCTACCATGGCCTCAGCTGCAAGAAAAGTCGAGGCAGAAAGCCCAGACACAGCAGCTTGAATGCTGTCTGTAAACGAGCATTCGCATCAGCCGGAATTGAAACAGAGCTTGAACCAGTGGGCTTATGTCGAACGAATGGCCAACGCCCGGTTACGTTAGCACCGTGGGAAAGAGGAAGAATGCTGACGTGGGATGTCACCTGCGTCTGTACGGTGGCATTATCGCATATCGTGGCAACATCCGAGCGAGCTGGTGCAGCGGCGGCAAAGGCTGAACAGGATAAGGTAACCAAGTACCAGAACATCACCCCGGACTACCTGTTCAGCGCTCTGGGCTTTGAAACGCTAGGACCAAACGGACCGGAAGGTTCCCGTCTGCTGACGGAAGTGGGTAGAAGGGTACGGCAAGAAACTGGCGAGGCAAGAGCACCGGAATACCTGCGCCAGCGTATCAGCATAGAAATCCAGCGCGGGAACGCGGCCTCCGTTCAGGGAACAGCTCCACCGGGAGCAAATTTAGATCAGTTGTTCTCTGTTCTTAGACCTCCCGAGGCTGTTTTCTGCTGATTGAGTGTACTGCGTTGTGATGTTAACTGTTGTGTGTACCCAATAAAAATGTACCCAATAAAATTAAGTACCCAATAAAATGTACCCAGACCTAAATGTACCCAATAAAATTTTAAAAAATACGTAGAAGTATGTATTATGAATCTGAGAGGTACCACGCGTTGAAACATCTGTGGTATATTTTTCGACATTCTATAGAAACCGGTTTTGCGGTTACAGCTAGTTGCGAGCAATTTTTACCGTGGAACAACAACGGCTGTCACTGAGTTATGAATGGAAGGTTCGTAATAATAACTATAATAACTGTTTTCTGACTACGTTATCTAGACAGTCCAGCAAGTGGCAGCATATAAAGCCAACTTAAAGAAGGTCCAAGCCCCTAAGGCAAAGGGCGAGAAGCCCGCGCAGATTGCCAAAGAGCTACATCTTCCCGAAGCCCAGGTGGAAGAAATGTATAACGCTGTCTTGCCGGCTGGATCAAGTTGACTATATACTGACATCACAAATAGGTGCTGATTCTTGCATAACACGAGATTCTAATATCTACGATATGTTTTTAAGCTCTTAATACCAAGGTCACAGTTTATGCCAATAACAACAAAACTTTTGTTACGGTAATGCGTTTATTTTTATGCCGTTATTTTGTGGTGGCGTGTTTCGAAGATTATGTCAATAAATCATTCCGCAATAAAAACAATTGTCAATTATGCAGCCAGTTCGACAGCGTCGCCGCTCAACGAGGCAAATAATACCTGCACGAAATTCTCTGTTGATTCCCTTTTCTTGACGTTTCGTCCAAGCACACTAAGCTTTAAAAAAAGTTAAACATATCGAGTGGAAATTAAGGACACGCGTACATGTGCAAATAATCGGGCAAAACATGTTATGCCGGCAGTTAGCAGGTAGTTTCACCGTTAAGTCGTCGCAGGCCCCGCAAAATAATGGCGAGCAAGCATGGTTAGCTGCAAATTTCCCAGGCTTACGCCATCCAAATTTGTTATGTCCCAATCCGCAGGAAGTTTGGAATTAACACATGGTCCGTAGCTGAAAAATACAACCATTCCCCAATGCTTTTGATACACTATACAATTCCGAAACTATTTCTTTTCCGCCACAGCTAATGGACTCTGGGTCAAACCGGCAAAATGTCCCTCCCAGACAAAACTGTTTTTCTGCCACAACTGCCTAAAGTGACCTTTCCGAAAGTCTTATCAGCGTTACCAAGTTGCTACTAAGTGGGAAGACTTGAGAAACAGAGTAGTAGTAAAAAAGTAACTTTTATGTCGTAATGATGAGCTTAGTGTCCTACATGGGGGATATTTTTGCCGGAACGTTGAACGAGATGTCCGGCCAAAGAGTCGTTTTTTCTGTACTACAGATGTGTGTTGAGTGTCGAAGATCATTGTCTGAAGAATGAAAACCTATTCAGTCACAGCGGGAATGATGTCCCGTCTGCTTTGCACCTTTGATCACACCCTCGCAGTAAGTTGCCACATGGCGAACTATGAGCGTTTTTCCGAGTATGCCTTCTGGTTCAGTAGTTCTTCGGTATCGCTGGTAGCATTTTCCGAACGGCTAATGGCTGATTTGAAAATCCACTTTTACCTTCAGTGTGTCATAATTTGTTATTAATAAAACTGCGCGATCTTGGTTTCAACAGAGATGCACTTGAATGGTTACACTCGTATCTCACTGGCAGAATGCAACGGGTGCGAATTGGTGAACGGATGTCTTTATGGGAACGTGTGTGCGCAGGTGTGCCACAGGGTTCCATTCTCGGTCCATTACTTTTTATCATTTACCTGAACGAATTGTTGAAAATTAGTCTACGTTGTCCTGATGTCCGGTTAGAAAGTTTCGCTGATGACACGATCTGCTATGCGATAGCAGACACGAAGTCAGGTGCAGCAGACAAAATAACCGCCGTACTTCCAATCATTTGTGAGTGGTTTGAACTGAACCGCTTGGTTGTCAATGAAAAGAAGTCTAAGCTGCTCATGATCACTTCAGCGTACAGTCGGGACAAAAGCATCGTGTCGGTTGATTTGAATGGGCATAAGCTTGAACCGGAAAAATCAGTAAAGCACTTGGGGGTGATAATTGACGAGCATTTGAAATGGACCGACCAAATTAAAAAGGTTCAAAAAAGTTCTTATCCTGGAATCGCCCTAATAAACAGTGTGAAAGATGCACTGCCAGTCGCCCACCGCGTTGGACTCTACCACGCATTCGTCCAGTCTCACCTGGACCGTTGCTCCATTGTATGGAGCGGTGCGCCTGCGTCCACGCTGGAGCCGTTGGCCGTCGTGCAAAGAAAAGCTGTTCGAGCTATTGCCAATTATGCCGAAACATCCGCTACCAAATTGATGCAGCAGTACGGGACCACGCCACTGTTTGAACGATGGAAACACCAGGAAGTAACTTGGCTTTACAAAATTCTGCACCCGGAGAAGTTCCAAGTGCCCCGTTATCTCACCGAAATGATCGTCGTAAAACACGATTCCAAACCGTACAGCCTTCGAAGCGGAATCAGGACCTTCATCGAAGGACAGGGAAGGACAAGGACGGGGAAGTCTACGTTGGCGTGGAGGCTGAACAACGTTATGAGCCAGCTAACCGAGGCCGGCAACGACATTCTTAGTAGCAGTTCGCTTGCTGTTTTTCGTAATGCACTGAAGCATGTTATCATTACTTGATTGCCTTCCTTTTCTTAATACTTCTCTTGTATTAATGGGTTTTGCTCTATTTTCATTATGATGCCTGTTATTTAGCCAGGTTTAAATTCCCAGCTAGATTTCGATCCTAGCCTTTAATGGGTTACCTGCCTGATGTACAATAAACAATAAACAATAAACCTGTAGGTCTATAAAATCTAACTTTGGCTGGGCGGGAACTGACACGGCAAAACATCCGAGGTCATGGGGGACATTTTCGCCGGTCACAAGTTAGTGCGACAAACTAGGACCATAGTGCCTTAAACTACAACCAGCAGACTATTACAGCTAAGATTAGGAAATAATGTAGATTTGGAATTCAAGGATCCTTAGGAAAGCGCGAAAATTACATTGATACGTACAAGTTAAGCATTTGCCGCAATTCAGTCCACTGAAATTCAGTATACGGCACCGATCGCATCCATATCGCATGAGTTTCTTTCCACCATATTCTAACTGCAGGCTCCACTGGAGGACAGCAAGCCTCCAGTGCTCGCTTGAAATCTTGCAAGCACCGCAGTTTCTCGGCTGTGCTGTGCAGATCCGTCCAGGTCATCGAGGGGATGGTGATCATGAAATTAAACGCTTCCGTTGTCTCCCTGAATCCGGGCATCGGATGCCTGAATTCCGGACCATGATACTGTGCAAAGTCGACAGTGTAGTTCTTAATGACCAGTCGTCGGCAGACTTCGCCTAAATGAAGCGCATGGAAATGCATGGAACTTAAGTTGCGATCGTCAGGATTGTTGCTGTCTCGGGGAAACAGACGAGCAGCGGGCACTCGCGTGTCCTTCAAAACGATTAACGGGAGAGTCGCCTTCATACGTAATAGTTCCACAACAAGCCACACCGTAGAGAATAGTCGTAGGTCAGCGCAGCGATGGAAAAGGTTGCTTAAAGTCAGTGTGTGGGTTGCTTTATGAATACTTCGGTGCAGCACCCTCGCGATGTGATACCCTTCGGTTTCGTTGCGACATGTCCATTGACTGGTAAGATTTGCAAAGTCGATGGTAACGCAGTCGGCAGTTGTTGGATCCGGCAACAGAAGATTCCATAGCGCACAAGCTCTGTAATTGCCAATAACGTTAAAATTCTGTGGATATAGCGAAAGTTTTATCTTGTACACAAATATACAAGCGTGCCACAAAACTCCTCGTTGTTCAAACACTTTTAGCTGACGTCAGAATCACTGTCCAAGCCGTTAGAAAAAAAGAGTAAAAAGAAATTTTTTTGTTTAATAGAACCATCGATATACGTCAGATGTTGTTGTTTAAGTAGCCGCACGCTAGATGAGCTGATAAAGCACCTAAACGTTTCTAATGCAAACTCATATACGTATTTCTCGCGAAAGCATTTATGTGAAGGCGTAACAGTGATGTGGCAATCGGAATCAGACGTCAATTAGTTTTGCACTGAAATAAATAATAATTAATATACTGCTATAATGCTATTGCAAATTGGAAAATTTACCTTTTAGCAATAAGTTGTGACCGGAGATCCAGAAAATGCAGGGCTTCTGAGAGGACTTCAGGTGGCATGTCATTAAACACGCGATCGCATACTGTAAAAATGGGCGAAAAACATTTATTTTCCGAAATTTTGAGTCGAATTAAAGTTAAGTTTTTAACCCACATTTGAAGTCACAGTTACTGAATAGGTTTGAATTCGCGTTATAGCTCGATGTTCTATTACTGACCCGTACTACGACTGCCCGCGGTAAGCAGTTCATCACGCACAGTTCTGAGGAGTTCTAATTCCCATTTCTCACCTTAAGTTGTGCAAATCTTTCGTTTTTATAAAATTCAATAAGCGATACGTCTGCAGAACGAATTCCTAGTTAAGATGTATACACGCGTTCGTCGCTGCACGAGTTTCCGCCGATATACAAGTACAGTACAGTAACACTAACCACTAACCGATACTTTTCGGTGTGCTCAACTTCTCACTTCTAATTCGTAAGCTTCGTTTTACAGGAAGAAATAAAATTTAAGTTGCACACAATTTTAAAACAGATTTTAATTATAAAGAAATCTTGGGCTTCGCGCATGGCTGCCGCTTAAAGAGAGAATCTTACCGGCTGTTGAAATTTTTATTGACCGTAAACACAGCTCTGGCTTCCCGCAGTAACTAAGCAAATATTTTTCCACCCCCACAGAAATTTTCTCCATTGTGTTTTCCGTCCAACAGGAATTATCTTTAGGGCAAAGGTCATAAGATCCGTTTATTCCAGTGTGCACACACGGAATATTCAAGATTACAAAACGGATTGCATTTGTTTCAATCCTAACAAACTG